CTGTGGAGTCACGAAGAGTTGGACACAACTGAGCCCTCACCATAATCGTCACAAATACAGGGTCACTCATCTCACACGCTAGCAAAGTAATGCTCAAAATTCTCCAAGCGAGGTTTCGACAGTACGTGAACTGAGAACTTGATATTCAAGTTATTCAAGCTGGATTAAGAAAAGGCAGAGGACCAGAGATCAAATTGCCAACACCCGTTGGATCATAGAAAAAGCAAGAGAGTTCCAGAAAAACATCTGCTTTATTGACTCTGCCAAAGCCTTTGACTGTGTGGATCACAACAAACTGGAAAACTCTTCAGGACATGGGAATTCCAGATCACCTTACCTGCCTCCTGAGAAACCTGTATGCAGGTCAAGAAGCAACAGTTAGAATCAGACATGGAACAACAGACTGGTTCCAATTAGGAAAGTAGTATGTCGAGGCTGTATATTGTCACCCTGCTTATTTAACGTATATGCAGAGTACATCATGAGAAATGCCAGGCTGGATGAAGCACAAGCTGGAAGCAAGATTGCTGGGAGAAATATCAATAACCTCAGATATGCAGATGACACCACCCTTAAGGTAGAAGACGAAGAGGAACAAAAGAGTTTCTTGATGAAAGTGAAAGAGGACAGTGAAAAAGCTGGCTTAAAACTCAGCATTCAAAAATCTAAGATCCTGGCATTCGGTCCCATCACTTCATGGCAAATAGATGGGGAAACAATGGAAACAGTGACAGACTATTTTCTTGGGCTCCAATATAAAAGATGCTTGCTCCTTGGAAGAAAAGCTATGACAAACCTAGACAAGGTATTAAAAAGCAGAGACATTACTTTGCCAACAAAGGTCCATCTAGTCAAAGTTATGGTTTTTCCAGTAGTCATGTATGGATGTGAGAGTTGGACCTTAAAAAAGCTGCGCGCCAAAGAATTGATGCTTTTGAACTGTGTTGTTGGAGAAGACTCCTGAGAGTCCCTTGGACAGCAAGGGGATCAAACCAGTCCATCCTAAAGGAAATCAGTCCTGAATATTCATTGGAAGGACTGATGCTGAAGCTGAAGCGCCAGTACTTTGGCCACCTGATTCAAAGAGTTGACTCATTGGAAAAGACCGTGATGATGGGAAAGATTGAAGGCAGGAAGAGAAGGGGATGACAGAAGATGAGATGGTTGGATGGCATTACCAACTCGGTGGACATGAGTTTGAGCAAACTCCGGGAGTTGGTGATAGACAGGGAAGCCTGGAGAGCTGCAGTCCATGGGGTCGCAAAGAGTGGGACATGACTGAGAGACTGAACTGAACTGTGTCCTGTTTCGGCTGGAGATCCACGACAGAGTCTGATCAGGAAGAAACATCAGACAGATCCCAAATTAACATTCTTTAAACAAAGAGGATGGGGAGAAGGACGGTCTTCTTCACAAATGCCAATATCATAAAAGACAAAGAGGCTGAGAAAATGTTCCTGATTAAAGACCAAAGAGACCGAACTAAAGGTAACCCAGGGGATTCAAATAAATTTTATTTATTTAGTTCTGTCGGGTCTTAGTTGTGGCACCCGGAATCCTTGCTAAGGCAGGCAGGCTTCTCTCTAGTAGGGCTCAGTTGCCCTGAGGCACATGGGATCTTAGTTCCTGGACCAGTGATCGAATCCACATACCTTGTATTGGAAGTGGCATTATTAACGATGGGACCATCAGGGAAGTCCCTAACCCAGGGCATTATTGATCAGGCCAACGGATACAACTGGAATACAAGTCAGTAGGTTTAAATACAAATAGTGTAGCAATGTTAAATTTACTAGTGGGTAACTGTAGGGTCCTTATGTGAAAGCAGCCTGAATCTTAGGAAAAACACACGGACAATGTAAAGATAAAGTATCATGATGTATGCCATGCAAGTTATTCTAGAAGGATTCAGGAAAAAAGTGTGTGCATGCACAGAGACACACACAAACACACACACCCCAATGCAGTGCAAGCAAATGGAACAAAATGTTTTGTAATACATGAATCCAGCTGACCCATACACGGGGAGTTCTTTGGACCTGGAGTTCTTTGGACCTTTCTGGCAACTTTCTCTATTTAAAGTTGTTTTCAAATACTATCTCTATTTAAAGTTGTCTCCAAAAACTAAGTTAAAAAAGAGAAACCATCAATATCTTAAGAGGACACTGCCAGCAGGATGCAATCCAGAACTGATTTATCCTTAAAAGGCCAAACCCAACGGATGACAAGTTAAATGCTAGCTACAAGCCTCTTCCTATAGGAATAATGGCATCTCTGGGTTTCAAGTTAATGCTAAGCATCTTGGGACCAACCAATAAATTTACTTTTAATCAGAAATTTAAGCGGGGGGGGGGGGGGGGAAGAAATTTAAGGAGACTTCCCTGTAGGTCCAGTGGTTAAAACTTTACCTTCCAAAGCAGAGTGTGGGTCTGATTTCCAGTTGGGGAGCTAAGATCCCGCATAGCTCAAGGCCAGAAAAGCAAAACATAAAACAGAAACATTGTAACAAATTCAATAAGGACTTTAAAAAATGATCTGCATTTAAGTGAATGATTTAAAAACTTCCTCTAGGGCTCCCCTAGCAGCACAGTGGTAAAAAGTCGGCCTGCCAGTGCAGGAGACAGGGGTTCAATCCCTGATCCTGGAAAATCCTACATGCCCCAGAGCAACTAAGCCCAGGTGCCACAAGTACTGAGCCTGGGAGCCGCAACTACGGAAACCTGGGCGCCCGAGAGCCTGTGCTCTGGAAGCCACCACAGTGAGAAGCTCCTGCACCGCAACTAGAGAGGAGCCCTGGATCGCCGCAACCAGAGAAGGCCCACGTGCAGTAATGAAGCACAGCCGAAAAATAAAAACGAATAAACTTTAAGATGTTTTAAAAAATAAAAAAGCAACAAAAAATAAAAAGCTTCCTCTGAAAGTGCCATCAGCATAGGTCTTGCTGAAGCCTTGGGCGGCAGGCAGTACCCTGGGGAGGTGACTACTGGTGTCTGTCAACTGTTGCCCAGGCCCCTACATCTGGGTTGGCCTAAGCGACTTGCTCCAGGGACACCATACGGGGGAAGGGACACGTGGGGACTTTCGAGACCAGATCATGAGTTTCAGGGAGCTCCTTGGTGGGCTCCGGCTGCTGCATGGGGAGCAGCCCAAGTCACAGGGAAGCTGGCTGTAGGTCCTCTGGTCACAGTTCCCAGCCACCAGGCACGGGAGTGAGCCCACCTGGACCACCAGCCAGGCCAGTCTTTCAGTGAGGCCACTGACCACAGCTGCCGGAAGAGCCCGAGGGAGAACTGTGGGGCCCAGCCTTGTCAACTCGTGGAAAAGAGAAAGGTGGACATATCCCTGTGCGTGTTTAAAGCCAGTGAGCTTCAGGGTTTGCAGTGCAATAAAGGATTCATCTCGCTCAAAGAAAGGTCTGGTCAAGGGGGCCCTCTAAGTCCGAGGAACATCCTCCCTGATGAGGGTCTTTTTTTTTCCCCTCTGCGTGGCCTATACTTTCCCGAGATCTATGCTGGGGACCCTGGGCAGCCAACGTGACCAACTGCAGTCAAGACCCTGAGAACCAAGGCCTGGGCGGCCTTCCCTGTCGTCACCTTGTTGCTGGGAGAAGCCAGCGCTGTCCGACCCCCCTGGCAGAGACACCAGAAGCCCACGCCTGCTCTCTGCTCTCGTGTCTCTTCTCTTTTCCGATTTTTTTTTTTTTCCAGTGATAAACTGTAACCATGCATAGAACAGCTCTTCTGAGTTCTGCCTGAGTTCTAGCAAAGGGCTGGACACAAAGGTGGGACTGGGGACGCCTGAACTGCAGTGGCAAGAGGGTCCCCCTGTGGGGTCTCACCTGCCAGAATTCCACCTGCAGATCCAGAGGGCTCCTCAGAACTCATTTCTTACGAGAAGAAAACGCAATTGGCACACGGGGGCTTTGTGCTTATTTTCCTCAAGACAGCGCGCACTTCCCAGGGAGGTGGTTCACGCCCACCCGGCTGGCTTTGGAGAAGCGGACCGACCCGCAAGGCTATTCTGAATGCCCCACAGAATCAGGACTGAAGTCGCCTCATTTAGAGCTCAGACTTAAAAACTGAAATATAGATGGGATTCACTATTAACTGCCAACGGAGAATAAAAGCGAAAGGGGCAGAAAACACCTCCAGCCTGCTTTGGCAGGGGAAGACATCTGCTTCGTTGCGTGAGGTGAGAACCGAGGCTGGCCTTCACCGAGAGGGGTCGGGCGAGGGCAAGGCTGACCCGCGCAGCCTCAGTGAAAACTCGCTGACGAGGGTTGAGGGGTCAGGGCTCCCGCCTGCACGTGAACTGTGGATGGGGTTCTCTGTCCCAGGCGGTAGAACTCGCCCCAGGAGCCTGCTAGGACGGCAGACACAGGGACTGCTTGGCTGGTTGGCCCCAGGATGGGCCTGTCCAGCTCCAGGGAGATGAGAGGCACAGAGGTGGTAGGACTTCATGGCCCCCCTGCACCCCTCCAGGTCCCCTAATGAAATGGTCACCCCAATGCCTGCAGCTTCCGAGGCCCCACCGTCGGAGACAAGCTGACTTACAATAATGACTTTATTTTAACATATTTAATTACAGACATAAAATAGCTGGGGAAGGGGGTGCACCCCAGCCGAGCCCCACCCTGGGGCTGCCAGGAGGGGGGTGCAGGTGAGGCCTCCCTGACGACCCTCCTTCCAGGGGTCTTCCTATGGCGGGGCCCTATTGCTTTAGCAGGGGAGGGGCCATGCAAGCAAGGGGGGCGGGGAAGCCTCTGGGCCCCGGCCCCCACGGCTGCGCTGGCCTTCCTCCAGAATGCCCGGTCGGAGCCCCACCCTCAGCCTCTCTACCTCCTCCTTCTTTGCCAGGGGAGCAGACCGTCTGGTCAGCCCCCCACCCCCTCTGCAAACCTAAAGGGGAATAAATACAAACTTTACAAAGTAAAAGGGGGTCCAACATTGCCCTGGGCTGGGCCTGGGGTCGATGGGGAGTGGGGCCCTGCCACGCGGGCCTCACATCATCCCTAACTGCAGCAGCGTGCTGGCGTAGGCCATGGGCTTGACGTCGGGGTGAGGCTGCAAAACCAGAGGTACACAGTCAGACACAGAAATGGGTGGGCAGCAGGGGTGGGGCGGGAGGAGGGTCCTCGAAGTTCCAGAGGCAGAAACCAGCCCTCCCCTGAGAATGGCTCTCCCCTCTGGCCCAGGCTGGAGAGAGCTGAGGACCCAGGGTGGGGGGCGGACTCACCACTGCTGTGAACTGGTGGAACTGGGGCCGCAGGTCGGAGCCCCGGAGGTGGATGTAAGCGGCTTTGTTCCCCATCTGGTCGCTGCGGGGACAAGGGCAGAGGGGCCGTGTGGTCAGTCAGAGGCTGGGAGGGGCTGGGGGATGAAGGAGGAGCAGGGAGAAGGGTTCCGGACAGAGAGACAGGGACACAGATGCCAGGCGAGAGGAAGCGAGGTGGAGAGGGGCCCTGGGAGCCCAGACGGAGGTGCAGGGATGGAGGGGAGAGCCTCGTGGGTGCCGGGGGCTGGGAGGAGCAGGCCTGGGAAGCAGTGACAGGATGGGCAGAGGGTGGAGGCAGGGCTCAGGCCAAAACACGGTCCCTGATCTGACCACGCCTTGGCTCTAACCACCAGGCAACACGGGGCACAGAGCAGCGTGATGACCGGCCAGCTGGGATGGACTTGGTCTCGTCCAGAGCATGGGAGACTCTGGTTTCTTCGACCAAACACTAGCAAAGCGGAGGGCAAGACGGACGAGGAACTCGGAGACCAGAAGACTGAAAACGTGGTCCTCATCTGGGTCCTGCTTGGAAGCAATCAACTGCAAAGAGACACTGAGGAGGGACATGGGGAAAGGGAACTCTGGCCGGGTTCAGGTGACCTGAAGGACTGGCAGTGGTTATCATGGTTACGTACAGAAGAGTTCCTTCCTTCAGAGACGCCCTGGGCCATCACCGGGTGGAAGAGAGGATGCCTGGGGTTAGCTCCCTAAGAGCCCATGGCGGGGGCGGGGGAGGGCGAGAGTCGGTAACTGTTGAACCTGGGTGACGGGTTTGTGGGCGTTCATTACAGTATCTGATGTATCTCTGGAATTTTCTATCATGAAAAGTTAAAAAAAAAAAGAAAAGAAAACCAGTGGGCTGGGAAGAGCGGCCCGGTGGGCGGGAGGTGGGGACGCACCAATAGTTGGGGGCAGAGAAGACAGTGACGCAGCGGCCGCCGTGCGCCACCTCATAGCCCTCAGCCTTGACCTCGTGGCTGCGGATGATGTAGTCCAGCTTGTTCTCCTCCAGGAAGGCCTTGGTGACGTCCGGCCCGAACTGGCAGCTCACGCCCCGCTTACTGACTGAGCGCCCATTCTGGGGAGACACGCAGCTCAGGGCGTCTACTCCCCCCGCCCCGCCAGCCCTGCCCACAGCCCATACCTGCAGACCACGGCGCCCCGGGCAGACTGACCTGAGGCTGCGGGTCTGACCAGAGCAGGTCGCACATGGGACCTGGAGGGGAGGGAGATGAGCGTCAGGGGCTGGGCGAGGGTGCCGCCTTCCACGGAGGGCACGGGGCCCATGAGGCGGGGTTCTGGGTCACCACAGGCCTCCCTGCCGACCTCCCCACCAGACCCCGTTCAATCTGTATGACCCCCAAAGCTGGAAGGAGTATGTTTTTAAGTTTTTTTTTTCCCGGCTGCACCTTGCAGCACGCTGGATTGTAATTCCCTGACCAGGGATGGAACCCAGCTCCCTGCAGTGGAAGCGTGGAGTCTGAACCACCGGACTGCCAGGGAGGCCCCTGGAGGGAGTTAAATAAGTGACTACTGCAGACACTCCTGCTTCCTGGCCAGTGCCGCCCCAGGAAGGAGGTGCACGGACCCAACATGCAGGAGAGGAAGGTGAGGCTTGGCCTCGCTGTCCTTTGTCCGCGCGGGCAGGGCCAGGGCCCGCAAGCCCTGGGAGGGAGGGGCTGCCCCCGGCCACCCAGTCACCTGAATCTGGGGGCTGCCGACTCCGCTCAATCTTCCTGATGTCGTCCAGGGTGACGCCGTCTTCACTGAACAAGCCCCCGTGCATGATCTGGGGTCAGGCGGGACGGCAGTGTGAGGGGAGGGGCCGGCCACAGCCCCACCCCCTGCCTCGCCGCCTCCGGGGGCGGCCGGCGGGAGCCCGCCTCACCAGCACTTTGCCGTTGATGCACTGGGCCAGCGGGAGCCACTCGAACACCTCACTGAAGAGCTCGTACATCTGGGCTGTGTACTTGGCCTTCACCTCCCCCTCGAAGCCATAGATCTGGTTCATGTTGTCCGTCTCATGGTTGCCTGGCCGACAGCAGGATGAAGAGAAACCTCAGCACCCCGCCGCTGGGCAGGGCGCCCTCCAGCTCACACCCCAGCCGAGGCTGAGGAGGACCGCGCGGCAGCCCCAGCCAGCGGCATCCACGCAGCAGCCCGCGGGTCCTTCCCAGAAAGCCCGCGAGGTGGAGACGCTGTTCTCAGCCCTCTGTCCAGAGGGGCAAACAGGCTGAGAAGATCCATGGTGCATGGTCACAAGGCTCAGGCTGGCCCTGATCACCACGGAGTGGCAGAGGCCTAGGTTCAGCCCTGGTCCTGACCCTAAGTAGCCAGAGGCACGTCCCTTATCCCCACGAGACTCGGATTCCTTCTTAAAGGACCAGCCACACTTATGCTAGAAGCATCAAGCAATGGGGCGGGGGGGTCTTGGAGAAGAAGAAAGAAGCCCCCTGCAGAGTGCCTGCCGTGGGCCAGTCCCATGCCTGGGCTTCTACCTTCCCACCAGAAACAGTCCTCCTCCCTCTGGGGCTGGGGGAGGCCAGGCCCCCCACGGCAGCCGAGTCTGGACTGTTGAGTCCAGCTCTTCACCTCCTCCTACAAGGAGGCCTGCAGAAGGAACGCATGGGATCTGTATCACGTGCCAGGTGCACTGCGAGAACTCCTTGAACTTGGATGTGAACCTGGGGGGCATCAGCACTCCTGTCCCCTGACCAGGGATTGAACCTGGGCCCTCTGCGTTGCGAGTGCGGAGTCTCCGCCACTGGACCAGCTCATGCGTCTCAGAGCCCCAACCCAGCCCACTGTCCTCACTCCGTCCTGCTTCTCCTCCACTCCTGGGTGCCTCTCCTGTGCACCGCCCCACCTCTCAGCAGGCAGGGGCTCCCCCTCGGTCCTTACTCCCTGGTGAGCTGACCCAGCCCAACACCACACGTACGCTGAGGAACCCCCACTTTATAGCCCCCAGGGGCCTCCTAGATATCTCCTCTCTGCCTCACAGCCACATCCAGATCCAAGCTCCCCACCTTCGAGCCCACACTCTGCTCTTTCCGTCACCCCCCAAGTTTCTCAGTGACAGCCACGGCTCTCCAGATGCTCCAGCCAAAACCCGGGAGTGCCCCCCTCCAACCCCTTCTTTCTCTCACATCTGCATCCAGCCCACCAGCAGACACTGAGGCTCTACTTGAAAAGCGAAGCCCCATCCAACCACTGTTCCCACCTGGGTCCAGCTACCACCAGTCTCCCTGCTCCCTCTCTTAGCTCTTGGTCTGTTCCCTACACGGAGGCCCACAAGTTCTATTAATACCAGAGATGGGCCCTGACCCTCCTCTGCTCAGAGGCCTCCCATGACCAAAGTCCTCACTGGGGCCCACAGAGCCCCAGTAATGCAGTGCTGATGCACAGTGCACAACCTACCCAACCTCACAGGGCAGCCCTGTGCACAATCTCAGTGAAGGCACGGCTAACACACCTGCAGTCACTGTCCTGCACGTGCCCTGCCCAGGGCCCCACGCTGACCCCAGACCCCACACTGATCCCCCAGACCCCACACTGATCCCCCAGGGCCCCACACTGACCTCAGACCCCACACTGATCCCCCAGACCCCACACTGATCCCCCAGACCCCACACTGATCCCCCATGGCCCCACACTGACCCCAGACCCCACAGTGACCTCCCAGACCCCACACTGATCCCCCAGGGCCCCACACTGATCTCAGACCCCACAGTGACCCCAGACCCCACACTGATCCCCCATGGCCCCACACTGACCCCAGACTCCACACTGATCCCCCAGGGCCCCACACTGACCCCAGACCCCACACTGATCCCCCAGACCCCACACTGACCCCAGACCCTATACTGATCCCCCAGGGCCCCACACTGACCCCAGACCCCACACTGATCCCCCATGGCCCCACACTGACCCCAGACCCCACAGTGACCTCCCAGACCCCACACTGATCCCCCAGGGCCCCACACTGATCTCAGACCCCACAGTGACCCCAGACCCCACACTGATCCCCCATGGCCCCACACTGACCCCAGACTCCACACTGATCCCCCAGGGCCCCACACTGACCCCAGACCCCACACTGATCCCCCAGACCCCACACTGACCCCAGACCCTATACTGATCCCCCAGGGCCCCACACTGACCCCAGACCCCACACTGATCCCCCATGGCCCCACACTGGGCCCCACACTGACCCCAGACCCCACACTGATCCCCCATGGCCCCACACTGACCTCAGACCCCACACTGACCCCCCAGACCCCACACTGACCCCCCAGCTCACCTCGAAGTAAGTGAAAGTGATCTGGGTACAGGAGCTTAAAGCCAAAAAGGGTGAGGATCACTTCTACGGAGAAGGAGCCACGGTCCACAAAGTCGCCATTAAATATCTGCCCTGCTAAGGAAAACAAGGGGGAGTGCTCCCTCCCCAACCCCACTCCTGTTGGCACCACCCTGGGGTCAAAAATGCCAGCAGGGCTCGGGGCACCTGGGCCCTCCTCACTTTTTGGGTCTGGCCCAGTAGTTTGGCCTCTCTGAGCCTCAGGAGGTACCAAGGTCCCCAGTCTCGCCTGCTTCTCAGGGAAACTGACGGCAGAGAGACCCTGGGCGGTTAGCCAGCTTGAGCTCTCCCCCAAACACAGGCCCAAGGCCACAGGGCAAACGGGACATGGGCCTGATAGCCCCGCCCAGTGGCCATTCATCAAGCAAGTATCCTAACGTGAGCAAACACTTATATAACGAGGACCGGGGCCTCCGAGCCTGTCACAGGTTTGAACATGCTACCGCTCTCAGTAGCCCAATGAGGCAGATCCATTTTACAATCGACGAACCTGAGGAACTGAGAGGTGAAGAGACCTGCCCGAATCACACAGTCGGAAAAGGGCACGGCCAAGAGGGAAGCCAGGCGTGGGCAGGGCTGCCCACCCTCACGTATGCACTCTGCAGCAGCACATGCATCCAGCCCCGTTTCAAGACGAGGAGAAGCTGGGGCTCGGACGCGCTGGCCTTGTGCCCAGGTCACAGCAGGCAGGCACCAGCCCGGGCCTGTCTGGCCCCGGAGCCCAGAGAGCAAGGCCGCCGGCTGCTCCACCCCGGCTCGGGGCCTCTCCCTTCTCAGGTTCAGGCAGGGAGTCCTCTCCCTCCTGCACCCCACACTCGGGAGGAGAGGCCGGGGAGGAGGGGTTGGCCCTTCTGAGGAAGGATACGTAGGGGTTGGTCTCCGAGGGTAAACCGTTGAGCTCAAATATGTTGAGGAGGTCATAGAACTGGCCGTGGGTGTCCCCGCACACTGTAATCTTCTCTGTCTGGAAGAAAAGAGGCCGCCGGAGAGGGAGGGGCCCAGAGAGAGATGTGGGGAGGGGGCAGAGGGGAGAGGAGGGGTGAGAGGTCACAGTGGACCGAGAAGAACCATGCAACAGACACAGGCGGGGAGCACAGAAATGCAGAGGGGAGGAGATGGATAGGAGAGACACAGGGTGGGGAGGAAGGGAGACCAAGCCGGGGGGTGGGGAGGGGGTTGGGGGGGGGGGTTCTGTGAGTTTCTGAGCTCCGTGGCCCCTTCCCAGCCAGGGAGCTGCCCACCCGCCCGCACACTGCCCCCAGCGCGCACCTCTTTGAGCGTGGTCTCCACGAGCGTGCTCAGCTTGGAGAGGACCTCTTTGACCTGTACTAGAATCTGGAAGGCAGGGCAGGCTGTGAGTGGGGCCAGCTGGAGGGCCAGCCGCCCACCCTGGCCCCGGGGAGACCAGACTGGCCAGGAGATGCTGCTGGGTGGAGGGCAGCGGAAAGGGGAGGAGGGGGCATGAGAGGCCTGGCCGAGGGCGGGCCTGCTGGGAACAGAGCCTGTGACCCGAGTGGGCTATGCGGCATTAAAACATCAGGACTATTTCATGGGAAAACCCAGATTCTCCATTTCTCTTAAAACAATCAGCATCAGGCAGAACCACGTGGGATGAATCCAGATATGGAATGTTTAACTGACTAGCTGGCTTGCAAACATCCAAGTGTCAAAGTCACAAAATCTCCCCAAAAGGCATGAGGCTGCTTTAAATGAACAAAAAAGTAAAACGGCAGACCATATGCAATCACTGATCGCTCAATGGATTCCGGATTTTAAAAAAAAAGCACAGCTAAAAATGATGTTTGGGGGAAAAAACTGGGGAAAACTAATATATCAGCCTGGAAGTACAGACACTATTAGTCCTTACGGACTGAAGACAGACCTGACAACATCGTGTACCCCTGACAGTGTTTGCAATAACGGCCAGCCTGTGGACTGCCTGCTTCAGTCAGTGTCATTGTATCACCACCAAATTTCCAAGATGGGAACGACTATAGTCATGCAGGAGAATGTCCTGTTTTTAGAGGACACAGGTTATGGTGCAACTTATTCTCAAATGGTTCAGGAAGAAGGAAAAAAAGAAAATACTGTGTGTGTACACAAGCATATACATAGAAAGATAAAGCGAAAGTGTCAATATCTCAATAACTGGTGACTAAGTGAAGGGGCTATGGATGTTAACTGTGCTGGGCTTTTGACTTCTGTGGGTTTATCAATTTGCTAAGTAAAAAGTTGGGAAAACAGTGCTAAAAAAGAAAAGTAGGAGGTATCCACTTTCGGTCAGAATGTAGAAAGTTATAAAAGGTTGTCACTCTTGCCTTAATGATGAAAACAAGTCAAGAAACAAAAAGAAAAAAGAAAAAACAAAGAACATCCTGAAACATCTCAGAGTGAGGACTCAAAGAAACCTAAATGAGTCAAACTGCAAGAGAGTGAGCGACAAGCTCTTCCCGGGGAGCACGGTGACTGTGCCACCCCCACCCCCATCAGTGCAGCAGGAGGGCAAGGCCGAGAGGGGAGCGGGTGTGACAGAGCACCTCTGCCCGAGCCTGCGTATTCTTCCCATGGCCACACAGAGGCGACGTGGTGGACCAGAGCCACCTGAGGCACAAAAGTGGGGGCGAGACTGAGAGCAGAGCGCCCCTCAGACACCCCAGCCTCTGGCAGCGGGGCTGAACATCAGAGCGCTTTCCTACAGCTCCGTGAGCTGGAGGCCTGACAGCGCACAGGCGTCCCTGGGATGCCGCCAGGGCGAAGATCCCGAGCCCCGCGCCCGGAGAGTCCTGCCTCCCCTCTGGATACATCTGGAAAGCTGCTCCTGAACTGCAGGGGGATGGGCACAGCCCCTCACTCTGGCAGCCCAACAGAAGCAGGGCCTGCCCGTGTCTGCAGGAGAGGTATCCGCCTCCATCGCTACCGCGCTTCTACACAAAATGTCTGGCCCACGAGAAAAACGCAGTAAGACGGGAAGAGCAGATAAACGGAAGCAGACCCAGAGCTGACCCAGATGGTGGGAGATCTAGACAGAGAATTTAAAATAACTGTGTGGAAAATGTGTTGAAGGATCTCACAGAAAAGGTAAATGACATGCATGAACATATGGGGCTGAGAGACGAAAGCTATTAAAAAAGTAACCGATGGAAATGCTGGAGACGAAGACTTCATCTGCAGGGTGCCCGGCACACCGTGGGCTCAGCAAGCGTCAGCCGGCGGGACCGCCCTGCTCCCTGCGCCCCCGCGGTGGTGGGGTGCAGGCCAGGCCAACGCCCTGACGCTACCCCGGGTCCCGAGCTCTGGCGCCTACCTGGTAGGCGCACTTCCGGTGCAGCTTCTTCTGGTCCTTGTACCACTGCATGAGCTCCTTCATGAAGGCGATTGTCACCCTGCCGTCCTCCAGCTTGGGCCCACTGTACTCATCCTCGATGGCTGGTGTGTGAAGGGGGGGAGGAGAGTCAGGGGCCGCGGCCACCGTCAGGGTGGGAAGTGGAGCCTGGCCCCCAGGCACGGTGCAGGCTCAGCGCTGGACACACAGGTTGAGGGGACGGGGTGAAGACTCCACTCCCCGGCCGGGGCCTCTCACAGCTGGCTCCTCTTGCTCATGCGGGCTCACAGGCCCTCTCCCTGACCTCCTGCCTACGGGGCGTGCCCTCTCTGGCAGCCTCTCCCCCCGATTTGACCTGCTAGCATTTAACACATGAACGATCAGTCCTCTCTCCCCACTAGGACACCTGCTCAAGGGGGCAGGGGCTGTTTGGGTCACAGCCGTATTCCCAGTGCCCACAACAGTGGCACAGTAGGCACCCAATAATCATCCGTGGAAAGAATGACAGACGCCTCTGAGTACCAGAGGACCTATGGACAAATCAGGCCCGTGACGGATGGGTGCAACTGCGGGACGGATACAGCAAGGCAGCCTGCCCGCACCAGGCCTCCAGCCCCCACTCTGGACTGCGGGGGCTCCAGGAGCACAGACAGTGTGTAGGCACAGGGACCAGAGGCGCCCCGGCACGCACGGCGCAGCGGGGCACCCGGGCCTGACTCACTCATGCTCTCGATGTCAAGCGAGTCCACGACGGAGCGCTTGTGCTCGTCGCCTGCGATGGCCCGCTCGAAGGCCTTCTGCTTCACAATCTTGTTGCACTCCTGGTACTTCATCTTGGCATCCTTGTCGTGGGGCTTCACCTTCACCACCTGGTACGCAAGGCGGGCAAGAGAGGACAGAAAGAAGGAAAGAGGCTTCAGCACCCAGATGAGGCGGGGGCACCATGACTACCCTTGGCTGGCCTGGCCCGGGGCTCCACGGATGCTGAGCAGAACACCCGGCCCCGTGCACGAGGTGTGCAAGCCTGGACACGCTCCCTCTCTAGGTCTTGGTTTCTGAGTCCCCAAACTGGGTGCGACAGGCTGCCCACACGGGGATGCAGGGAGGGAAAACGTATTAACCCATTCAGATGCTCTTAACACACCACCACTGACCATCATCAAAATAAAACTGGCCCTGCTCCAGCTTTCTCGCTGGAACCAGAGAGGCTGGGAGGATCCTGTGGACTGGATCCCAAGTCATGATTTACAGCCCAACTCAACCAAAGAGGCAATGACTGGCTGGATAACCCAGAGTCTCAGTTTTCTCATCTATGAGGTGGGGGAGGTGACAGGCTGTTGGGGAGGATAAGGAACCAGCACGGGCCTGGCATGCAGCCCGAGCTCTGTGGGCAGCCGCCGGCACCTGGTGGTCACGCGCCCGGGGTCAACCTCTGGCCCTGGGGAGACCCAGGATGAGTGAGTTCCCTTGGTTCCCTCCTGAGGAAGGTGGAGGCGACAGAGCATCAACCCCGAGGGCCGCTGGGAGGACGGAACGAGCAAACACGTGTGAAGGGTGTGCAGCAGTGAGTCACCCACGGCCCCTTTCACAGGCTGCCGCGTCCATGACGTGGGATCGCATGCAGGAAGCACTGGGCGCTTGGCCGTGGGACACACTCAGGTCCCAGGAAGAGGAGCCCCTCCCCTCCCCTCCCCTCCCACTACTTTCTGTCTCTGTCTCGCTTCCTACAGACTCTGATCCCCCAAGTCCAGAGGGAGCGGAGGCTGCATTCAGGCCCCAGCTCTGCACTTACGTGCTGGGTGACCTTGGGCAAATGAATTCACCCCTCTGAGCCTCAGTTACCTCTAACTCTTCCTGTAATTATCAGTGGATCCTGCCTTACCTGCCCCTCCTCTTGGCCTCCCCAGGAGTGGACTCCCACAGCCCTGTGCTAGGGTGCAGAAAACGGGGGTGCCAGGCGGCGAATGCACCCTGGTGGAAAGTCTGGCTGTGTGTCAGAAGCCAGGGCAAAGGTGTTTGCTGATGCGCCCCGAGGGGCAGTGTGGCTCACCCCCGAGAACGGGCGTGCAGACCAGGCCGGGTGGCAGGAAGCCGGTAGGGGCCGGGCTCGGGTCAAGGTGCCCTGCCAGGTGGCTCCACCTGCGGTGGGGTGTGGCGCAAGGCCTGGGAGAGAGGTGGCCCCAGACAGCCCCTGGAGTCCTTCCCAACAAGCAGAGGTTAGGAGTCCACGGCCCAGGGTGAAGTCCAAACCGCCACTCTGCCTGGCCCACGAGGGCCCACCTAAACCCTCTGCGTTCCCTACTTGCCCAGCGCGAACCAGCCAGACCAAAGCCACAAGTCCCCAAACATGCCGGCCCCCTCTCACCTGCAGGCTGGTACACCCCTTGCCCAGAACACCTCACATCCACCCTCAGTGGCTCTCCAGCCCTGCCTCCTCCTCCTCCAGGTCTCAGCACCCCGCCCCGGCCCTCTCCCATCTCCCAGGCTGGGTCAGGCACCCACTCTGGGCTCCTACAGCGCCCTGGGCTACCCCCCACCGCCCCGTCCAAGCCCTGAGCACCGCAGGAGACGGCTCTACCTCCCCAGTGGAAGGTGGTCGTGGCCACGAGGGCAGGGCTGAGGCTGTGTCCCAGGCGTAAGGAGCGCCCCGAGTGGACGGATGCCCCATTAAGCATTTCCTCTGAGCCAGCACCCTCTTTTCAGAGAGCTCGTGGGCCGGGGTGCAGGCCGGAAGCAAACACTGATGACCCCGGGAACAAAGGAATGGAGCAGTAACAGCGCCCAGCTAAGCTTTCTCTGTGCCTGACGCTGTAAGCGACGACCCGCTCACTTTCTCCTCAGAGCAGCTCCCTGTGATGTCATCACAGCTCCACTTCATGGACAGACAGGGAAACTGAGGCCCGGAGAGGTGAAGTCACTGACCCAGGAAGCCAGGACTCCGTTCTCTTCCCGCTGAAGAGCCTGCTCCCACCGCACACGCTGGGACGGGTCCCCCTTCCCACCTACTGCCACTGTCCCCACAGCGCCCGACATGCCTTCCAGGGACATGCTGTGGATCCTGGTCTTAAGAGCAGGCCCTGGGGCCAGGCCTCCCGGTCTGCCTCCAGGCCTTGCAGCCAGGGGAGGCCCCGAGGCCTGCTGGCTCAGAACTCAATGCTGGACTTCTCTTTAAGAGGGATCTCACAATGGCTGATTCATGTCAATGTATGACAAAACCCACTACAATATTGTAAAGTAATTAGCCCCCAACTAAAACAAAAAAAAAAGAACACCAGCCATACCCAAATAAATAAATAAATAAAAGAGGGATCTCACAGCAAGTGGGCTCTGGGTTGTGTCCGGTCAGCATCCTGCGACAGTGATGCCAGGCATGTCACTGGGGGAAAGTGGGGCAGTGGGGTCTCTGCATTACCCCTCATACCTGCATGTGAAACCACAACGCTCTCAGAATAAATAGCTGTTTTCACAAAGTGGTTTCAGCTGCGAGTATTTCCAGGCAGTAACTCCAGGGACTCAGACCGATGAAATGGTAACAAGGGCTCTTGACCCCCACGTAATGCCATGGGGCCGGCGTGTATCTGGGAAACGGGAACTCTATGAGTTGAGGAAGGTGACCCAGAGCACATGCTCCATGCAACAGGACGTCCCCAGCAGGTCTGGGTGGTGCCTGGTAACCATGCTCACTCCTGTTTCTGCAGTAAAACCTCCAGTGGCACCACATGGGACTGCAAACCCTCCAAAGCCAGGAAGTCCCGGGAGGAGGTGGGGAGTATAGAAGGAGTACCCCAGACCCGGCCTGGGCCCTCATGACTGAGCTCCAGCCACAGACAGGAGAGAACACAGGCGGAATCTTCTGAGAAGAGGACCCAGTAAAGTGGTGGGGAATCCTGGAGCCAGGGGCTCCATGAAAGAATGAACTTGGAGATAAGAGAGAGGCGTTGGTGGGGGGATTCAACACGGACCTGGAGAGGGGCGATCAGCCTCGGCCCTGGAGGCGGAGCAGAGTGGAGACACCCCTGAGCCCCCAGCCCCTAACAAGGCCCTGTGCCTGCACACAGCCCTCCCTGGGGGGGCTGTGGGCTCTTCCCAGACACCCGCAGGAGAAAGTGCACCCAGAAAGTGCCCCTGAGTGGGGGCCCGACTCTCACTGAGTCCTCACAAGGCCACTGAGGCAGGAGATCCAAAGCGCTCAGCCTGGCAACCTGACCGTGGAGCTGGTGCATCCAGTCCCTGCACGAGTGACCTGCAGAACTGCAGACCATGACTCAAGGTAAGAATTCACACCTCATACACACCTGTATTCACATAAATGAAAAATATTCTCACACACACATATGTGTACTTCCTCCAAACTGAACTGCTGTCTTCTCTAGTCCATCTGATGAAGACAAAAGTGCTGGTTTCAAATAGCCCACTGAGCATTACAAGCATGGACTCTGGGTTCAAGTCTCTCGCCTCTGTTGGGCGACCTTGGAGGAGGGACATCGTCTCTCTAGACCTCAGTTTCCATGCTGTAAAATGGTGAATCCGTTTTCCTTCATGTACAAAGCACATAAAGAGCTCGCGACAGAGCTGGGCCTGCAGCGAGCGTGCAGAGGGGGAAACTGAGGCTGAGAAAGCAAAGGCCCTTCACCTGAGGGCCAGGCTGCGTGATGCCCTAACCAAGGTCGAGTCTTGTCCCGCCTCCAGTGGTGCCACGACTGAAGAGGGGTCTGAGCCCATCCTCCGCGAATCCCCAGCGTGTCACCACACAATAGCTCTGGAGGTAGAGACTGCATGGGGAGCCACCCCAGGCTGGCCCCTCTGCCATGCAACCAGAGTCTGATGAAACGTGTCAGGAAGGACAGCCTGCAGGAAGGCGGGTGGTCCAGGCAGGCAAGGACCTCAGGCTCATGCAGGGGGTCCCCAGGGCTGCTGGCAGAGCCCTGAAAGTAACAGCAGCCGTGACCTGGACCCCAGGAATCCTGCAAGGCCTGGGATAAAGCTGTGTATGCCGGCGAGATGGCTGGAAGTGACCATCTCAGACTCCAGGAGCATGTGCTGCGAGGCCCCAGGCTGGGTCAAAGCAGTGAGAAAACCTCCATTCCGGGCCCTGGGGAGACGGCCCTGCAACCTGGGAGGGAAGACCCCGTGCAGATCTGTACTTGGGGCTCCTCTCATCTGGCCCCCCTCCCTTCTCTTCCCAGCCCCTCCCCGCTTTGGAGACCTGCCCCCACCCAGCCCAACTGCCCTCCTGAGTTACTCATTACTGAGCCCTCCAGGCCCCGTGACCTGTTCTCACACCACTTCAGCAGAGCCACCCTGGAGGTGGCCATGCCTCTCGGCACCACTGCCAGATGAGGACACCCCAGGCCCAGGCCGAAGACCAGCTGGAGGACGGATGGGGAGCCCAAGCTTGTCAGGACCCCGCTCCGCAGCTCCTTCCTCCATCCTTCCGGGGGGGCACCCAGCCCCCGCCTCCACTCCGCCTCTCGGGCTCTAAATCACCTCCTTCCTGCCTCTGCTCTGCCCTGCCACGGGTGCCCTGGCCTGGGGCTCCGCGCGAACCTGCACTGAAGGCCACCCTCCTCTCTGGGCTGGCGGCCAGCGGCCCGCCCTGGCCGCCTGACCTGCCCCCTCCAACCGCAGCCCGCGGCTCTCGGCCTCCCGTGTCGTCCCGCCTGATGCAACAGAAGCTGCTCAGAGCGTGGGACGGAGAAAATGAAGGAGGGAGTGAGGGTGTGTGCGAGTGTAAGGGCGGCATGACAGTCACTCAACAAACGCTAAGCCCCTGCTGGGTGCCAGCCACCGTCCCAGGGAGAGTCCCAGAACAAAGAGAACCCCTACTCTCAAGGAGCGGCTCTCTGGACGGGGGAAGATGCCGGCCGGAGGCTGGGCTGCCTGCGCTGAGACCCCAGCTCCACTGCTTACCCACTGCATGCAGGTGGGTGGGTGACTTGAGCCTCCTGGGCCTCAGTCTCCCCATCTGTACAATGGGGGTAACCACAGTTCTCGCCTCACAGGACTGCCACACGAGTCACTCAGCCGGCTGATGTGAAGAGGAGAGGACAAGCCTGGCACGCAGGCGTGCTCTGTGAGGCCTGCCCCCATCACAACCAGAGCAGTGACAGCATCGGGAGCGGAGGACGAGCGACTGGCCTGGCCAGTCCTTCTTGTCCTCCGGGTCCCCTCTCTCATCTCCTCATCCAAACACACCCCCGCGTGCTGTCCCTTACAACATCCTGTCCTATTCTCTCTCCCAGACCCACATCCTCACCTGCAATGACTGTTTGCCCTCCCAATAACAGGTTCATTTTTTGCCCTCCTCCAAATTATAAGCTCCACCAGAAGGGCTGTGTGCTTCTTGTTCACCAACAGTAGTAACAACAATAATCAGAATAGTTAATTGCATGTGCTGACTACGTGCTAGGTGCTGTTCTAAATGCCTGAAAAGCAGAGGCTCAATTACTCTTCACAGCAACCCCGAGAGGCAGGTCTTCGCCCTCCCATTTCAGGGATGTGGGGAAGAAGGCAGAGAGAGGCCAGGTGACTTGCCCAAGGTCACCAGGCAGCGAGGGCAGAGCTGGGCTGTGAACCCAGCTGGCGTGTGCTGGATGAGCGAGCGGTGAGTAAACGTGCGCACAGCCTCCTCACGCCTTGCCCGTCAGGTCTGGCCAAGCACAAGGAGGCGCCAGCCCGCCCCGCCTGGCCCTCAACACCAGCGCGGCTCAGGCCCGCTCACCGTCTCGTAGTCGCGCAGGGCGGCCCGGAACTTGCCCAGCGCCATGTTGCTGGCGGCCCGGCGGTAGTAGCCCTTGATGTACTTCTTGTCCATCTCGATGGCCCGCGTGGCGTCGGCCAGCGCGTAGCCGTAGCACTCGGTGCGCAGGTAGGCCAGGCTGCGGTTGCCATAGTAGATGGCATTGCTGGGGTTCAGCTCGATGGCCTGGCTGTAGAATTTGATGGCGTTCTCGTAGTCCTTGGCTGTGAAGATGAAGGGGGGGGGTATGAGGCAAGGGGGCCACCCCCAGCCAGCAGGGTTCCTCGGCTGGGTACTGGCCAGTCCTCCCACTTACAGATGGAGAAACTCAGGCCCAGAACAGGGCTCAGAAACGTCTCTCGAGCCCACTCCCCTTCCTGACTTGTCCCACCCGAGCCCAAGACCAAATCCCTAAGTCCCTAAATCACTTCCACATACCTGACCACCCAACCATCGCCCCCCAAGGCCCCAGCTGGGCAACACTTTCTCTGGGACTTCCGAAGGGTCTTCTGAATGTGCCCCGGAGAGGGTATGTTACTATTATATGTTATATGTTATATATGTGTTATAACATATATATGTTAGGGTATTCCCAGCCCTGAGATGGGAGTCAGCAACTCTGAGTCTGCCCTGAGCCCCAGAGCAAGCACATAAGCCCAAAGAGGGGTTCCAGTAGAAGAGGAGGAAGTGGGGACGGAAAAGGGACCTACTTAGGTCTCAGGAAGGCGACACATCAAAGAGACTGAAAGGAAGCGATAAACCAGACCACGGGAAGAGCTTCCCCACAGAAGGAGCAACAGGTGCAAAGGTACTGGGAGGAGAGCACTATGTTCGAAGACCAGCGAGCGGGCGGTGTGTCTGGGGCAGGCTGAACCTGGGGAGGCGGGAGGTGAGGGCAGGGGGGCTGGCGGACGCATCCCGAAGTCCACAGCCAGAGCAGGGTGCAGCGACAGGGCATGACATCTGGCCAAGGGGAAAAGTCCATTTTATTTGAAATGAGCCACGGCCGTGCCCTGCACATTACATCTCGACCCGGGGCACCCACACGTCCCCACGGCACAAGCACCGTCCGGTGCTCCTCCTACAGCAAGCCACAGAGGTCTCGTCCAAGGTCAGACGCCCAGTCTCTATCTGCAGAGCTGTCTTGGCCCACATGGCCGTCCAACAGGCAGGAGACTGAAGCCAGAGGGAGCGCCCGACCTGGGGGGACTTGATGTGCCAAGTGCCTTGGGGGGGCTCTTGGCACACGGGTCCCCACATTGAACCCTCATGGCACCCCCAGGACGGCTGCGCTAGCCCCACTTTCCAGATGAGGCTCTAAGAGGAAAACCACATCACCCAGAAAGTAGCAGACAGGGATTCCGAGTCAGGCCAAGCACCATGAGCGCCCATGTTCATCCTCTGTACCAGTGGCCTCTGGGGGAGACCCGCATGGGGCAGACACAGACATGGAGGCAGGCAGCCTGGGCCCATCCCCGCTCTACTCCTAGCTAGTTGCGTGTCCCAGGGCAACTTACGTACCCACTCTGGGCTAAAGTTTCAGAGAGTCCTCCCGTCCCCTCAGCCTAAAACGAGAACTCCTGCCCTAACTCCCACTGTTCTTTTCTCCAGAAGCATCTGAGAAAACAGGACTTTCCTTTGCTGTGTTTGCTTATGGCCCATCCTCCTAACGTGAACTTAAGTCCTGTAAGGGCAGGGGCGCTGTCTGTCTTACTCTGAACCCTGGCCTTGTCTGAGGACACAGCAGCCCCCCGCCCTGCTGTCCAGGGGCTCATGGTCCAGCTGGAGGGTGGGAGGGACACACCGCACACAGATCACCGCCCCCAGACAGTGACGACCACAGTGTCTGTGGCTGGGGCCACCCAGAGGGGATGCTGGGGCTGAGACTCGGAGGAGGAGGAGTGAGTTGGAAGAAAAGCACGGAAGAAGAGGATTCCCGGCTCCATGAGTGGTTCCTGAATGAATAAAAGAAGGAAGGTAGGAAAGAAAGAGAAAGACAGGACACACCAACAGTAGAGAAGGAAGCCAGGTGCTGGGAGGTACCAGGAACAATATAACGATTCCTTCCGCAGGCTAACGTTTGGCAATCTTTCAAATGACTTGGATGTCACCTCCTTTGAGAAGCCTTCCTTGACACCAGGCGGGGTCAGGGAGCTCTCCGGGCGGCCCCCGCCCCTAGGATCTGCTCTCCCAGGCCTGCCCCATTTGGGCAGTCACTGTAAGGTGATGGGTGTGTCTCCCTGAGGATGGTGAGCCTTGGAGGGCAGGCCCAGGACTTCCCAGAAACACGCCGGGGTGGAATGAGGCAGCCAGAGTCTGACCGACCCTCCCTGGAATGCCAACACCTTCGAGGACTCCTTCCAGCCTCCTGGCCAGGTTCCAGAGGCCAGCGGCCAGCGTGCCTGCCGTACCTTTGGGCATGGGGTGGGGAGCCTGACATCGGGCTCTGAGGATCCTGACCACGAGACCCTGGACAGACAGCCTCCCCTCTCTGAACCTCAGCTTGCTCATCTGAAATGTGGGAAGCACAACCGGTCCCACCTCACGGGCAGACTGTGAGGGTTAAAGGAACTCTCAGATGAAATGTGGCTACAGCCGAGAAAGCGATCAGCAGATGCTTGTGAAAGAACTGACTGAGCGACTCGCTGAAGGGAAGAGACTAGAAGAGAGGAAGCCGGAGGGGCCTGGGCATCACACAGCTGCCCGACACCAGATCCCGGCCCCGTTCTACATGCGTGCATGTAACCCTCAAGAGAGGCCCCATTTTAGAGAAGAGAAAAGTGAGGTGCAGAGAAGCTAAGGTCTTCCCAGGGGTCACACAGCAGGTAAGACAAAGAAACAAAATTTGAACCCAGGCAGTCTGAGCTCTTAACCGTGTGAAGTCTTGGACTCAGAGGCCTCCTTGGGGGTTAAATGGAACCCCTCCCTTTATACAGAAGGCAATGGGGGGGCGATGAGGCTCAGAGAGAGGGGAAGTGGGGTGAATGACACGAGGGACCAGGCTCTTCCCTCCTGGGGCCTCTGAATCAGAACTGAGTTCCTAGGGGTCAACCAGCCAGGGTCCTGCGAGCCCCTGGGAGCCCTCATCTGCCCCCTCACCGCCCCGGGGCCAGCATGGCTTCAGGTAGGGCTGTGGGTAAGGGCTCTGAATGTGGGAGCCAAGCACGTGTTGAGGAAGGGGGATATCCGGGCGGTGCTGTTCGCACACTCTGACCTTGAGCAAGCGGTTTCACTTCTCAGAGCCTCAGCTTCCTCTATAAAACAGGGCCGCTCCTGCCTGCCTCCCAGCGCCCGGGGGAAGATTAGACAAAGTGGTGTACCTGGCCACCACAGGGGCTCAATTAAGGCGAGCTGTAATTAATCTTTTTATTGTTATTCCCCTAGCCCCGGGGACTGGGCCTCGGTGCCTACAGCTGCCTGCCAGACAGCAAGGGGCTTGGGCCAGGAGGGGCATCCCCCTCCATTCCAGCTCAGTGCCAGCGCCGCTGGCTACCTGCCCAGTCTCAAGCCTCCCAGAGCTCAGAACCCAGGTCCTGGCGGGGGGGGGGGGGAGCCCCCCGGAGGGCCCACTGTTTCCCAGAATTCTCCCTTCATCTCAGCATATGCCCCCAGGCTTGCCGCTCTTCTCAAGCCCCATTTCAGGGGCAGTCTCACCTTCCACATCGCCCCAGGCTGGAGACTGGGCCCTGGCCTGGACACCTGATCCGTCAACCCTCAAAGCCAGGCAGTCACCTTGTTCTGTCAGGTCAACCTCCACAAAGTCTCTCAAATCTCTTCTTTCACATCCATCCCAAATGTCCATCTCTGCCCCGGTCTGGCCTTCATCCTCTCCTGTCCAGGGTCCTGTCTCAGCCTCCCCCAAGCTCTCCCAGCCCCTGGTCTTGCCCCTCCACGGGAGGGTCTTCCTAAAGCACAAACCCCATCCCGTCCTTTCCCCACCCAGAACCATCCCTGGCTCCTCAGAGTCCCCAGGCGGGACGCTCAGGTTCCCCCTGCAGCCTCACCATCAACTCTGGCCTCTCCCGCTCCAGCCCCGCTCACTTCCTCGGTGCTGGGCTCACCTCTGGGCCTTTGGCATCCTTCTCTTCCTTCCTGGGGTTCCCTCTCTCCAGGTGAGAGAGGGAACTATCATTCTCCCTCTGAAGCACTCCTTGAGTCGGTTTCTGTCTCTCTGGCCAGGTGGGCAGCACCCCCATTCACCTGTCCACCATCCTAGCCTCTTTATGGGTCTCTATCCTCGTCCTTGGGTCCAGTCTCTGCAAGGCCACTGGGGGATCCCCTTCCATCACTAAGCAGCCTGTGTTGCTCCTCTCTTCAAATGTCCCATGGCTTCCTGCCACCCTCATGATGACATCCACACTCCCTGACCCGCCTCCAGGATCTACCTCCAGCCTCACCTCTCACCAGTCCCACCTCCTTCTCACTGCTCTGGTCTGACCTGATCTTCCCACCAGAGGCTAGCTCTCTGCTAAGGCTCAGATCCCCCCCATGCCACACCCCACCTCCAGGGCCCTCTGCTGTGGGCCTCCTCTCTCTCCTGCAGGATCAGCTCTATTGGTCAATACTCTTAGTCTCTTCTGCTCTCAAAAAAAAAAAAAAAAAAAGGCAGCGTCCTCCCACCCCCCCAATTTCTCCACTCCCCCTCAGAACCAAAATTCTCAAGACCCCTGTCAACACTGGCTGTCTCCACTTCCTCATTTCCCACTCACTCTTCAGCGCCCTCCCCTCTGGCTACCAGCCCCATCATCCCCTAGAAATGGCTTGGGTCAAGGCTACTACCAACAAGTTACAGAGCCAAATCCAACGATCAATGCTTGGTGCTGGCTTTTGCAGCATCCCATCTCAGGCACATCCCCTCCTTCTAGAAGCACTCCTTTCTCTCAGCTTTCCTGGTTTTCCTTCCACCTCAAGGACCACTTCAATGCAGCCTCTTCAGTTCTAACCACTAGAATTCCTTGAGTTTCTACCCTAAGCCCCTTCTCTTCCAAGGTGACCTCATCCATTCCCACAGGCTGTTCCAGTCCACCCAGAGGCTGATCCTGCCCAAATTCCTCACCAGAGAGTTCCAGGCTGGTCCATCTCTCCACTCAAGGGCTCCTCTGGGAGAGCCGAGTCAAATCTGAACTGGTCTATGCAGTGACTTATGAAACCCTAAGCGATCTGGTCCCTGTCCTAAGCTTATCTTGTATCTGTTTCCCTGCTAACTTGTTAAAGTTCCAGCCAAGCCAGCCAGTCAGCCTCCTTTCATTTCCGACCTCAGGGCCTTAGCACAGGCAGCACCGCCCACCTGGGACACTCCTTCCCAATTCTCCTATGAAACTGAAATGCCTTTTCCTCAGTAAGGCCTTCCCTGACCAACCTCTCTAAGGTCGTGGCCTCCAACCCTTATTCTCTACTTCTCTGTTGGGGTTTTTGCAAAGGACTCATCACAGCTTCTAAGTATTTTATTATTTCTCTGTGTGTTTGCTCAATGTCTGACTCTCCTGCTAAACTACAAACTACCTAAGGCAGGGCCACATCTGTGTCACCTGCTGCTGTGTACCTAAAGTCAAGCACAGTCCTTAGCACGCAGCGGATGCTCAATAAACGGACGGAATCAATGAATGAATGGGTGCGCCCACATCCTACTTTCCTAAGATCCTAAGTCATACTAGTCTTGGATTGCCTCACCTCTACCCCCAGAACCTTCCCTCTCCTGGAGTAACCTCAAATCTCCTCTTTCCTGGCCCTCCCATCTAATGATCTATTTCCCATTCCCATGATCGCCTGCTCTACCGGGACAGTTCCCCCCCTTCCCCCAACTTGGTGCCTCTCCACTTGGAGTCTCCCCACTCGGCAGCGCCATCACTCCTCCGCCCCATGTCACGACTTGGTAGCGCCCTCTTCAGGTCGCGCCATAAGCTGACACCTCTGGGGTCTCACATTTGGTGGTGCTCCCATTCCGGTCCCCCTCCCGTTTCACACTTGGAAGCGCCCTCCTCAGTCTCCCCACTTAGCACCCGCTCCGCTCGCCACTTCCAGGCATCACCCCTTCTGTCCGCAGCCCCCTCTGTCGCCCCTTAGTAGCGCCATCCTCGCCCTCCCCACGCCCGGTCACTTGGTAGTGCCTGCCCCGCGCCCAGGCTGCCGCTCCGCGTTGCCATGGTTCCGCGCGGGCCCGGCACCCCTTGACTTGGGGCTGCTCTCCACCCTCCCTCGCTCCCTCCAGGGCGGGCGCACCTTTGAAGTAGTCGTTGGCCTCCGTCTTGAGCTCCTCTGCCCTCTTCAGAGCGCCATCAGCCGGGGGCTCGTCCCGGGGGGGCTCAGCACACTCAGTCCGCTCGCCCTCCGCCATCGCCATGCCGCAAAGCGACCCCCACCCTGGCAACGGCCGCCAGCGGCACCCGGCCGAATCGTCGCGAAGGAGGGCCGACTTGCCGCTGCCGCTGCTGCACAAGTGTCGTAAAGCGCGGGCCTCGAAGGCTCCCTTCGCGCGCCTGCGCAGGGCCCTTTCGCCATAGAGCGCGCGGAGGACAAGGTGACCAGAAGGCCTCCTGACGGCGCCCTTCCTAGAATGAGCCAATGAGGAAGGCGAAAAGGGGCGCGCGGGCAAAAAAGGCCCGGCGTCGCCCCGGGTGCCAAAGTTCCGTGTTCCGTGCCGCAGAAGCTTCTCGGGGTCTTAGAGTGGGCTCTTCCTGCCGTCATCTCCGGATGGTAGGTGGTTTGCCAACTCTGCTGGTGGGTGTGGCTTTTCTTTGTGGCAGTACTGTCTCTAAGGCGGAACCCGAGCCGGGGGTGTCTAGCCCTATTGTCAAGTACCTGTGTGACCTTGAACAAATCTCATCCTCTTTAGGGCCTCACTTATCCCCCTCTGGAAAACGGGCAGTTTCTCAAACCGACAGAAGAAAGGGTCAGAGTTTCTGATCTGTTAACTAAAGGTACCCTGAAGCCCTTAGACTCAGAAGTTTGTTGCACCATCTCCTTTCTCTTTCCTCACCCCTCACTCAGCAGCCTTTCATGGCTCGTCAGTGCCGTTAGGAGTAAGTTTTCAGAAAAGACTTTTTCTGATGAACTATAAGACCCTGAATAGTCTAGCCTTAGGCAACATTTCCAGATGCCACTCCTATCCCCAACCCCCATTCACTGTACACCCTTCCAGGCCACCTTTCCCAAGCCCACAGCCACTACTCAGTGCTGAAGTATAACACTAAATTGTTTAAGGCTCTGCTCCGGCTCCCCGCCTGGGGATAGCACGAGCTATCCCACCCTCAGACCTTCTTGTCCTGGCAATCAGACCCTAGCACAGCCAACAGTCACCCAAGAACGTAAATGCTAGTATCACCTCCATTTTCCAGATAAGGACACTGAGATTGGTAGAGGTCAATGCACTTGCCCAGGGTCATACAGTAAGAAACTCACAGAGCCAGAACATGAACCTGTCGCGCCTTATTCCTGTGCTTTTCATTCCTACTCTACTCTCTCGGAATGCTTCAGAGCCTACCCTGTGGGTTAGATTTTTCATTGTTTTGAGGGAGAGGGATGCTGTAATGGATCTGAATCCTGAATTCGAATACAGCTCAACCCTTTCCTGCTGTGTGACCTTGGCCAGGTGATCATCATCTTTGAACCTCAGTTTCATCCTCTGCAAAATGGAGGTGATAACTGCATGTTGTATAGGATTAGAGGAGAGTTTGATAAGATCATATAAGGAAAGTGACAGGGGGCCTGACACAATACTTTTTATATCCCTTCCATTATAAGTGCTCAAAGTGGGACAGTGTACCTGGAGTTGATGGTTGGGGCAGGGTGGTGGGTAGTGGGCAGCTCTCAGGAGGTTATGGGAGCACCTTAACCAGCAGGAGTAGGCAAGGAAGACTTCTTGGAGGAGGGGATGTCTGAACGAAGAGGTAAAGTAGAAGTAGGAGATAACCACGTGAGGAGGGAGGGAAGGGAGAAAGGCAGAGGGCACAGCAAGTGTCAAGGCTTAAAAGTGGTTTTCTTCCTTTGAAAAGATTCTTTTGTGGAACATAGGAGAGGAGTTATGATGGTGACATGGCAGGTCAGGCACACCCATGTACGCATGAGTCTCTAGGTATACAATCTCTCTTTCATGGATATACACACATGCACAGTCAAGTACAGAGAATCATGTCACACAGATAAACACCAGTACACAGAACTGTAGTGTCAAACATTCCTATACATGCATCCAGAATCACAAACACCACACAGACAACACACAGGTACAAAAAAAAATCACAATGCCTCCTACACTCAGGAACACAGAAATCCAAAGTAATGATGAGAAAGATACATGAGGCTGAATCATTTTGCCCAAACACTAATACACATAGGAGGAATTACAACCCTCCCCATACACAGGTTCACAGAATTATGTCACAGTGACCCACACAGAACGAAAACATCACCAGACACACAATGTTACATAGACCTACGTAGTAACACAGTGTCACACGCAGAATCACAAATGGACACCCAGTACACTCACACCCCCTGAAGCAACCCTAGAGATGAGTCAACACACAGAGCTCTGGTGCCTACCAAGGCGAGATCTTTATGGCGGTTTAGAGATTATTGGGTTTCAGAGCCAGCATGGCTGGTCTGGTCCCTCGCCGCTCCCCAGCCCAGACTAGGTTACCCCCTGAGGGAGAGAGGGGTCAGATCCTTCTCCCCCTCCAACATAGCACCGATCTGGACAGGCCATCTCTTGATGAAATGATGAGAAGTGCCTTCCAAAAAGGGAGTGAACTGGGTGGAGAGAGTGAGGCTTTCTCCTGTAGGAGACCAAGAAGAGCACCATCGTAGAAAGAAGTTTGGAGAGGGGTGGGGACACGGGGTGGCAGAGTCCTGAGGAGTCCGGGCCTCCTCCCCACCCCGCGATATGTAGATTGGGCTGTGCGTGTGCCTGTGCGGCTGGGGAAGTCTCCTGGATTGTGAGGGAGCCCTGGGTTCCCCAGATACTTGGAGTTAAGTAAAGGTAAGTATATGTCTGGTGGACTAAGGTGGGGAGTGGAGGGGGTCTGGACAGAGAATTTTTAGGGATATGAGACTGAGATATGAGAGGCCTGAGCAGGAAGACCATTAGCCCAAGGACCTGGGGGGTCAGGGTCTGGAATGGAAAGACTTAAGACGGAGAGTAGTAACTGGAGCAAGTTGAGTTGGGTGGGAAGCCCAGAATAGAATTAGGAGGGTGGGGTCTGAAATCAAAGAGTCCGAGGTTTTAAGATTTGGAACCAGAGGAATCTACAGGGCAAGGTCCAGATTCTAAAATCAGCTGAGTTCTAGAACCACAAGAATGTGAATCTGAAATCAGAGGCAGTTGGGAGGCTGTGAGATCTAGAACCAAAGATAAAGAGTAAAGACTAGAATTTGAAAAAGTCTTAAGACCAAGTTCTAGAACCAGAGGGATTTGGGCGAGCTTAACCCTAGAAGCTTAGAGCTGTAAGGTCTAGAACCAGAAAAGTTGATAAAGCAAGGTTTGTAATCAGAAGATGTTTGAAGGCTGAGTTCCAGGTGCAGGGTAATTTGGAGTCATAAAATGTGGAATAAGAAGGAATTGGAGATTGTAAGGTCTAGAACCAAGGGAATTTCTAGGATGAGGCCTGAAATCAGAAGACATTTAAAGCCAGTTTCTAGGACCAGAGAAGAGCAAGATAATCAGATCTGAAATCAGAGAGTCTTGTAAATTGCAAGACATAGAGGTTTATGTATAGTCCGGAACCAGTAAATGGTAGAGATCATGAGGACTAGAGTGAAGGAGAACTGGAATGTGGTGTCTAGTTCAAAAAGTACTAATTATAAGCTCAAAACATAAAACTCATCTCTTCCTTTGGATGGGAAAAGCAAGTCTAGGAGTTGAAAAGGAAAAAGCTGGGCATCATGAATCAAAAATGATCTAGACATTACAAAGTCTGGATTTGGAAAGAAATGCATCAAAGGTCAGGAAGACTAGCACCAATTGAGAGCTTGGGGTTGTGAGGTCCAACATCAGAGGAAATCTTTGGTCTTAAGAGCTGGAATCAGCAGGAGTGGGAGCATGTGCCATTGGGAACAAGGGAGAAGTGTGGGAAGAGCTCTAGAACCAGAGGAAGGCAGAGTGAGTTCTGGAAGCAGAGGATTCTGGTGGTCCTGCGCCAGAGGGGGTTGGAAGTTGTGAGCCTTAGAACCAGACAGCTTTGGAGACTGTGAAGAAGAAAGAGTAGGAAAGTGTGAACTCGAGAATGAGAAAAAGCTGAAGACTGTAAGATCTAGAATCCCAGTGCTTTGGAGGATGGGAGAGCTAAAGCAGACCACATTGGGCATCATGCAGTCTGGAACCAGAGCTGGATGGGGACGGCGGCACACCATCTAGAGCCAGAGAATGTTGACGGTTGTACAGTCTAGAACCAGAGGAGGCTGGGAGTGGCACAGTCTAGAACCACAGAGGGTCAAAAGCTGAGTGTGGACTAGAACCAGAAAGGGTTGGAGGTTGTATGGTCTGGAAGCAGAGGCAGGAGGCTACACCTGTGATAGAAAAATCAGCAATGGAGTTGGTGTCCAGGTCAGGCTGGAACCAGCTGGAAGTCCAGACTGGAGGTGTGGGCAGAGCTAGGTGGCTGCTTGGGAGGCTCAATGAGAAGTCATGGGGTGTGGAGGAGGGGCAGTTAGGCAGTTAGGTCTGGCCCAGAGGTCCCCCTTCCCCACTGACACCTACGATGAGAGAGGGAGATCAGAGTCCCACATTCTTATAAACCCCGGGCAACTTGTAGCAATTAAAAACATACCATGAAAACAACAAAAATAAGAATGAGAGAAAGATGGATAGAAAGAAACATGAATATGATTATCAATACACCCCAGAGCCCAGAAATACAGATCTGAACCCCAACTTCCCCCACCCCCCAATTACCGAAAATAAAGCCAAGAGAATTGAAGAAAAGGATGAGGTAACCAGGATTGAGAACCTCAAAGGAAGTCCTGAGTGAAGCAGGAGGGGGCCAGGGACCCCCTCCCAGAGGTCACTGAGCTGAGACCACCCCCGAGTGCCCCCAAATGCTAGGGGCGGAAGGGTGGGGGCTGAGGTAGGCCCGAGGTGGGTGGGGGTCACCGAGAGGAGAGAGGGAACCCTTCTCCGGGCACCGCCATCCTGTGCGTTGGCTGCCAGCTTGGAGTATGGTTGACATCCTTTCTTGGGGAGGAGAAAGGAGAGCAGAAGAGGAGCTGACTCAGATGGCCTGGGCCAAGCCTGCTGCTAGCTGAAAGTGGCTCCTGGGCTGGGCCGTGTCCTCGTCCGGGTAGAGAGAGAGCAGGGAGGGGCCCGGGCCTGTGGGGGAAGATGGAAGGAAAACCAATGGGGAGGTATCACCCCAACCCGTCTTCCCTTCCAGACAGTTAAAAGCCTGACTGCTGGGACTTCCCTAGTGGTCCAATGGTTAAGAATCCGCCTTCCAGTGTAGAGGACACAGGTTCCACCCCTGGTCAGGGAACTAAGATCCCGCTTGGTGCAGCCAAAAAAAATAAAATGGCAACCCCCACCCCCCCACTGCCAAACTCCTTTCCCCACTGCATGCACTGTTTTCCCCCAATAGCACTGTTTTGCATTACTGTATTTGTTTCTTTGTTCTGGACCAGCTCCCTCACTAGAATGTCAGCTCTGTGAGGGCAGGGAGTTCTGCCTGCTTCGCTCCTAGGTGTGTCTCCAGCTCCTCAGACAGTACCTCACATTTACTGTGTGTTCAGTGAATATTTGTTACACATATAAAGGAAAAGAATGAATCAAGGGACAGTGACCGTGGCTGAAATGGAGAATGTGATGCAGAGTGTCGTCTGAGATGAGGCAGTGGTCAGACCCCACGGAGACTAGAGTCCAAGCTGAGGGGCTGCCTCTTTCTGAAGGGCACTAGGGAGCCACAGAAGAGCTTGGAGCAGAGGAAGACCAGGGTCAGATTCATGCTTGAGAAAGCTCTCTCTGGCTGATGCCTAGAGGTTTCAGGGGAGCCATGACAGACACAGCAGCCTGTCCCGCTCTGCAGGGGGGCTCTGGAACCAGCATCACCGCAAGGGCGAGCTTTTTGAGTGTTTCTTATGAAACCAGTCTCGGCAGCATCTCTACAAGTCCTCAAAACATCTCCTTAAAGTGTGAACTCTTACAATAGGCCCTCACAGAGGGGCTTCCCAAGTGGCGCTACTGGTTAAGAACCCGCCTGCCAAAGCAGGAGACGTAGGTTCGATCCCTGGGTCTGGAAGATGCCCTGGAGGAGGAAATGGGTGACCCACTCCAGTATTCTTGCCTGGGAAATCCCATGGACAAAGGAGCTCAGTGGGCTACAGCCCCGGGGATCGCAGAGTCGGACACGACCGAGCGACTGAGCATACTGTCACTAACAGAGGCGGGGAACCGGGACTCCAGAAGCAGAAACTTTCTCCCAGGGCCACAAGCTGGGAATGACCAAGGTGCAATCAAACAAGGGCTTTGGGAGACCTGGGCTCCACTTCCACCTCAGGGGGCAGGTTTGGCCAGCCCCTGCCTCCCTCAGGGCCTCCTCTTCTTTCTTCCCACAGTGCCCCCCCAACCCCTGAGAAAGCAGGAGGGGCTGCCTGTTTCCACTAAGGTCATGGGCAGGCACCGACAGCCCCCCACCACCCTCAGGCTCACCCCACCTTCTCTCAACCATCTCAGGCACTTTTCACGGGAGACAGGGACCCAGGGCCCATCTACCCAGGCTGCTACTCACCCAGGCGCTCATTCAGCTCCAGGAGGTGTGTGCTGGGATCCTGCCGGCTCCCTGGGGCTGGTCCTCCTGTCAGAAGGAAGCTCTAGGAGACGAAGACAAAGCCGCCGTCATTATCATCACATCCAAGGAGGCAGGATGGTGCAATGCTTAAGGGCACCGTGGAGGTCAGTGGCCACGAATCAGCTCTGTGACCTTGGGTGAGTCGCTGTCCCAGACATGCTCTGCAGCTCCTTCCAGAGCCTTGGTCTTCCCTTCTGGGCCCCAGCAAGCTGACCTGCTCCCATGGACTCCATCTAGGTGCAGCCTTGCTGCCCCGTGTTTTCCCTTGGGGTTCACGATGATAGTGATACCAGCAGATGGTAATATCATCCCATGATGATGGGAGATGCCAGCAGGCGGGAGGAGGAAGACCAGGGATATCTGATCTTCTAGCTGCTTCCCCGCGGGCTCATCATGGGTTGGCTGTGTCCCTCCACCGAAGGTGTCAGCTCTTACCAGGTGGACCCTACTCTCTCAAGGATCCGGTCACCACCGCCTTGCCCTGTGCCTTCAGGCTCGAGGTGGTGTTGCTAATCCCAGGGTTTGCCCACACCTTTACAGACAGTCCTGTTACTAAATTCTCCTTAATACCCCATTTGAACATGCTCTCTGTGTCCTGTCCAGACTCTGACTAATAGAGTTGCTTAACCTCTTGAGTGTAAATGTGAATAATAACACTTGGGAATTCCCTGGTGGTCCAGTGTGCCTTCACTGCTGAGGGCCCAGGTTCAGTCCCCGGTCAGGGAACTCAGATCCCACAAGCTGCCTGGCATGGCCAAAAACAAACAAATAAACTTAAAGAAAAAAATGTAAAATAATTAGTACTATTCAAGAGTGGCTGTAGGGATTGAATAATTTACTTATGCTAGGCATTTAGTGCAGTCAGCATCTGGCACGTGGCAGACACTCAATAAGTAAGAAACTTGATATTACCAACCTGATATTATACCCTCATGTTCAAACAGCTCTGTTCAGACCGAGAATTCAGGCTTTTGTTTGGTTGGTTTTTATATGACCATTTATCAACAGCCCACTAAGGAGCAGCTGAGGGCCTGATTTCATTGCATCTGATGCCAGTCCTATGGAGTGTAACTATCCCCACTCTCCAGATGAGGAGACTGAGGCTCAGAGTGGTGACCTCACCCACACACCTAAGGTATCAGAGTTACTAGGTGACAGACCTGAGATTTGAACCCAAGTCAGTCTGACTCTAGTGTCTGTACTCTTAAAGCTACATGAATAATCCAAGGCCAGGACAGTGCTAGATTTACCAGGGGGCGGTGGAGGGGGAGGGAAGTGGTTGCCGTGGGAGCTGAGGTTTCCTACAGATACTCACCCTTGTTGTTTCTCCCCTTACTCTGCTTATTTTTTTCTTCTTAGCACTTACCACCAACTTAGATCTGTTTGCAAAGCCCTTTCATACCTATTGCCTGAGCCAGCAGATCAAGGTCCTACCCTTGACTGAATGACTGACCGACCATTTGACCTTCAGCCAGCCCCTGCCCTCCTTGTTTTTCCGTCTCTAAAAACAGTAGGTTTAAGCCTGCTAGGTTCTGAGGGCCAGAGAATCCCACGCCATGCAGTCCCACACATACCAGGCTGAGGGGAGGCAACAGGAAGTTTTCGGGTTCTGGGCTGGGGGATCGTTTGGGGGGTCTTATGCCCAGGAGCTCCACCTTCTCTGCCTCGTCTTCTGAGCTCGGGACCAGGGCCCTGGAGGGAGACAGGCAAGAATCTCAGGGCCCAGCAAACCTGGGCAGCTGTGGGCCCTCGTGTGCGCAGGTGAGGAGCGTCCATTCACTCCCCCAAGCACCCGTTTATTACTTTACTCATCCACCCACCAATCCATTCATTTTTCTGTCTATCAATACATCTTCCCATTCATCTAGCCAATGACCCATCACTCACCCACATACCTATACAGCCTCCATTCATCTGACCTTCCATTCATCCACCTATCCATCCATCCACCTACTATACTCACTAATTTCCTCCCTCTCTCGTTTTATAAATCTTTGTTAGGTACCCCCGTATCCAGCTCCAGGCTGAGAGCCTTGGAAAATAATGAGATGTATCCATGGAAGCCTCGTAAGGATAGTTACTAATGGGCTCATGCCTGCAACTTGGAGAGCAGAAACTTGAGTATTAATAATAGTGATTGAGGGGGCTTCTGTGGTGGCTCAGTGGTTAAGAATCCGCCTGCCAGTGCAGGAGACACGAGTTCGATCCCTGGTCCGGGAAGTTCCCACATGCTGCAGTGCAGCTAAGCCTGTGCACAACAACTGTTGAGTCTGCACTCCAGGGCTCGGGAATGGCAACGACTGAAGCCCAAATGCCTAGAGTCCAGGCTCCACAACAAGAGGCCACCCCAGTGAGGAGACCAAGCACCTCCATGAAGAGTAGCCCCTGCTCCCTGCAACTGGAGAAAAGCCCATGCAGCAATAAAGACCCAGCACAGCCCAAAATAAATAAAATTGTTAAAGAAAAATAATGATCTAACATCTTTGAAATGGGGACACGGATCCTCTGAAATTATATGCGAAATCGTGTGTCGATACATGTATGTGTCACGTTTCTTAGGAAGAGTTCGTGGCTTTCAACAGATTCTCAGAGGTGTTAGGAAATTTGGTTCTGGACAGTTTCTCTGACACCATGGCAGTGTCTTCACTGTGACAAAAACTGTCACTAGGCCAGAAATATGTCCTAAAGGAGAGGTTGGCTGGTGGGATTTGAATAAACAGTAAGAACAGTGGAGGGAACTCCAGAAGGAGGGCACAGCCCAGACAAAGACATAAAGATTGAAACAAACAGGCAAGTGCTGGGGACACCAAGGGCCTGGCTGGAGCAGAGGTCAGGGTGGGAGGAACGAGGAGGGATGAGGCTGATAGTATCGGGCAGGAGAAAGATGGGGTCAGGGACCTTCTCTCCACCTCCCTTTTATCTTAGTTCCCCGACCAGGGATTGAACCCGCGCCCTCAGCAATGAAAGCACAGATCCTAACCACTGGGCTGCCAGTGAATTCCCTCCTCTTCCTTCCTATCCCCGCTCGACTGCAGCTCACCTCTTCCGAGCCCCAACCATGGGGGAGGATGCTGAGGGGTCCCCTCTGGAAGGGCTGGAGCAACTCAGCCGGGGGTCACTCCCCCAGCGGGGGAGCAGGGAGGTCTCAGGGGTTGGGGGCGACATGCCGTGGAAGCTCCGAGCACGGGGCCGGGGGACAGCCCCTGCAGGTCTGTGGTAGGCCCTGGGTAGCTGCTCGCTGGAGTTGAGCTGAAAATCATCATCCATGGAGATGTAGGGGGCCAGCATCTCCAAATCCAGAGCATCGACGTCCTGCAGAGGGCAGGAGGGAGTTAAGAGCATGAGCTTTGGCTTTAGGTGGACCTGGGCTGGAGTCCCAGCTCCTCCACTTCTGAGTTGTGTGCCTGCCATCAAGGGTCTGAGCCTCACTTTCCTCATCTGTAAAATGGGCAGAAGGACTCTATGGTAGCCAGTTGCCAAGATGGCCCCCAAGGATCCTCACCTCTTGGTATTTAGGCCCTAGTTTAGTCACCAGCTACCGTGTCCAGTCAATCCTAAAAGACATCAACCCTGAATATCCACTGGAAGGACAGATGCTGAAGCTCCAATACTTTGGCCACCCGATGCGAAGAACTGACTTATTGGAAAAGACCCTGATGCTGGGAAAGATTGAAGGCAGGAGAAGGGGATGACAGAGGATGAAATGGTTGGATGGCATCACCAATTCAATGGACATGAGTTTGAACAAACTCCAGGAAATAGGAAGCCTGGCGTACTGCAGTCCATGGGATCGCAAAGAGTTGGACACAACTTAGCAACTGGACAACAATAACAAAGACCTTGGAAAGACAAAAGGTGGTGTCTCGAATATCCTCAGTCTGAGAAAAGGTACTCTCGAGTTTAAGGATGTACCTCATAGGTCTTTTCAACCAAACCTTAGAGCTTCTATTAAACTTCAGACCTCTGTCACTCAGCCATCTCAACAGGAGCCTGAAGTAGAGAAGGGTTTATCTCAGAGATTAGTGGGTATGGCTTTTGTCTAGTGGAGTGAACTCCAAAGACACATAAACAGAAGCATTGACAGCTTGGACTGAAAGAGAAAGAGATGGTATAAAATGAAAAGGGACCTTTGGATCATCAAAACTCTCTAAGAAGAAAGCAGGTTACAAAAACCACTCAGCTGCAAACACGTGCTACCTTTTTCTGAAAAGGGAAGGATGACTGAATTACCAAGAACCCCGAGGGTACAGCCAAGAACCGTATAGAAAAACTACTGGGAAATACTAGGAATGAGTTCTGATCAAGTAACTGTTTGTTTGTTTTAATTGAAGGATAATTGCTTTACAATATTGTGTTGGTTTCTACCAACATGACAAGCGACTTTTGACATTTGCCCAAATGGATTTCAAAAGTGCCATGGATCAGTGATCCACGTGCTCTCTCCTTCCCCCCATTTTTTTGAAGAGGAATATTTTGGCAGTTATTCTATGCCTGTCCCATCACTGGGTATTGGGAATGTAGATGGCAGACAACTTGTCTCTGTTCAGAGGCCAGCAGATTGAGAGGAACTGTATTTAGGTGCTCAGCCACACCCAGACCTGACTGAGGTGATGAGATTCTGGACTTGAAATTGTAATGGGAAGAGACTTTGGGGGGCCTTGGGAGGGTGAGTGTACCTTGTTTGAGGGAGAGACATGAATCACTGGGGGTCCCAAGGATCATTGCCTTCTGGCATTCCCACTTGTTTGTGCCTGCCTTCCACACTGTGCCGCGGTTGGTCTGTCTGACCAATACAATACAGCAGAAGTGGTGGGATGTCACTTCTGAGATTAGGATATAGATGACCGCATCCTCTATCTTGGGTGCTCTCTCTCTCTCTGATTACTTGCCTTGGGGGAAGCCAGCTGCCGTGCTGTGAGGATGCTTAGGCAGCCTCTGTACAGGCCCACGTGGTGAGGAACTGAGACCTCCAGCCAAAGCCATGATGGACTGCAGCCTGCCAGCAACCATGTGCATGAATTTGGAAGTGGATCCTCTAGCCCCAGGCGACTGTGGCCCTGACTGAGAACTTGACTTCAACCTCATGAAAGACTCAGATGAAACCATCTAGCTAAGCTGCTTCCAGATTTCTAATTCTCAGAAACTGTGCAACGTAATAAATGTTTGCTTTAAGGCACTGAGTTTTGGGGTAATTTGTTACACAGTGATAGATAGCTGATACATCAGGCCACTGTCATTTATGTCTCCAGACCATCAATCATCCAAACACTTTCCATCTATCAGCCATCCAACAGTCTTATCTATCCAGTGACCGACCCATCCATCCATCCATCCATCTGGATACCTAAGCATTACCCATCCATCTTGCTACTATCACCCACCTAGTGAATTCAGTGACCCATCTATCTATTCATCCATTCATCCCCTTAACCACGCCACCATGCTTCTCTAAAGCTTAGATATGTCCCCCAGAACCCAGAGGTAAAGACCATTCCTTCCATGCTTGCCCTTACCTGAGCGATATCTAGATCTGTTTCCACTGCCTGCAGGTCTTTCCCAGAGGCCAAGACTTTGTGTGCATTCTCCACATCCACAAGTAGTTCATCTGGGAGATCAGCCTGTGGGGACAGAGAGTAGAGACTCAAGGAAATCTTGGGCCTGGGAGATGTTGGCAGTAAGGCAGTCTAAACATTTGAGCTCGGGTTAGAAGTGAGGGTCAGTTGTCAGACAGCTGGGACACCAAGCGAGTCAAATAGCAAATGTGAGTTTCTGAACCTGGGTGTGCAAAAGTCTGAGTGCCTGGGTGTAGACTGACAGAGCACACATCAGAGGTTCAAAAGACTGAAGTCTGAGGCCAAGATACTCAGGCTCTGACGGGTTAAAGATCTTGGAGTCTGGGGGGAAACAATGTAGAGTCCAGTTGTCCCAAGGGTAAAGGTGAGGTCAAAGGTCGCAGTCTGTTTCTCTGGTGGAGAGAAGATATTTTGGGGGGTCATGAAGGTGGGGATAAGGAAAGTCAAGACTAGATAATATGGACCCCTGAGTCAAAGGTCAGCTTTCTGGACTCAAGTAAAAACAGTAACCATTAGGGTCTATTGAAATCTTTACCAAGTGCTTGTCATGAATGATATCACTGAACCCTCGCCATAACCAGTGAGGTGGCTATGTGCTACTATCCTAATTTTACAGGTGAGGAAACCAAGGCCCCACTTTTCCAGGGTAACGCAGCTCTACATGGCAGAATCGGGGTTTGAATCCAGGCTTGAGTAATCTACAACATCAGGCATTCTTGTCTCTGTGAGGTCAAAATTCAGAGAACCCAGGACTTCCCTAGCAGTACAGTGGTTAAGACTCTGTGCTCCCACTACAGGGGGTGCAGGTTCGATCCCTGGTCAGGGAACTAAGATCCCACATGCTGTGTGGTGCAGCCACAAAGTAAAAATTAAAAAAACAGAATTCAGATGCTTAGTCACAAGCAATGAGGGGTTACCCTTGCCAGTCCCAAACATCCTACATTTTGATCCAGATAACAGTTGAAAGAATCTGGAATCTAGATCTTGAAGGAAGCCCAACTCCATCTCATCCCCAACCTTTCCACTCCACAGAGGGAGAAACTGACTCAGAGAATAGCAAGGTTCAAGCCAAAAACCCAAAAGCCTGGATCCTGAGGGCTGAAGTGGAGGGAATGCTTACCGGAAGAGGACTTTGGGGGCGCCATGTGCCTGGGGGTGCACTGGGGGTAGCGGCTACTGAAGTCCCATCCAGGATTGGTGCCAAGAGGCGACGGAGGTCAGGGCTACAGAACCGACGGGGGTCAGCTGCCAGGGCAGCCTCACTCAGGGCAGGGGGGTGCAGGAAAGCCAGGATCCGGGGACCAGAGGTGTCTGCAGGACACATCAAGATGCATAGGACACAGGAGGGTCACTCAGAGTTGAGGGCAGAGCTCTCTGCCCTCCTCAGGGAGCAGAACTGATGATATAATCAGCATGGACCCCGTTCACAGCATTGGGAGCTGAGTGCTGGAGAAGACCTGCTGGGCCAGGTGCCATCCCTTCAGTGGCCCTGAAGGGTCTTAGGGGAGGGGCCAACATGGAGTGGGGCACACAGTAGATAGGGACAGTAGCAACTGCCCAGTGGTGGGGACATGTTTTACTATTTCAGATTGACACAGCTGGACTGGGGCACACAACTAACCTGATTCTCCAGTAGCACAGAACAGCCTTTGGCCATTTGGCTCTGGCGGAGGGAGGGTGAGTGGGCATGTTGGGGGAGGAAGCCGGCCCAAGACCCTCAAGGAGGTTCTAAGGACCCTAGAAGTCAAGATGTGGTCCCGAGCCAGTTCTAAGTCAGAAACGGAAAGGGTGTGGGTGACCTCATACCACACCCAGGAGCATGGGTTGCCAGCAACCCTCTGCAGATGAAGCCCTAAAGAACAGTCAAGGAGGGAAATTCATTTATCCAGGATTGGAGGGGGAGGACGATGCTGTTAAGCAGCAGAGAAGGAAGAGGTAAAAAGAAGCCAGATGTGGAAGGGTCAAGACTATTGGAAGCCAAAGTACAGTGACGTGGGAGCAGGGAACAAATTGAAAGTGGGGACAATTGGGGGTCACAGCAGGATCCAGAGCACAGGACAACAAGACTGAAGCAATACAGGAGAAAGAGGGAAGACAGAAAAGAGCACTCTGGGCAAAGGAAACTGCACGTGCAAAGGCCCTGAGGCAGGAAGAGTATTACATTCCCAGAGCACTAAGGAAGCTGGTGTGGTTCAGAGAGTGAGTAAGAAGGGGAAGGAAACAGGAGGCAGGTCACACGGGGCCAAGTGGGTCAAATGAAGGCACTTGGGCTTTCTCCCAAGCATCCTGGGGACACAACCCCACCCAGCCCCAGCCCGGCCCCATACCAAGTCTGTCTCCAGGATTAGGGGCATCCTTCTGAGAGGGGCTGCCCTGCTGAATGTGTCTGCGAGAGTGTTGCTCAGTTTGCTCCAGGGACAGCACCACTTCGGTCTCTTCCACCCGGCTGGGGTACAGGGTAGAAAGGGGAATGGGAGTCAGAGAGGGTGTCTGGCCCCACCCCTAAGCAATCCCCTCCTAGTGATGTCCTGTTACAGGAGACCATCTCATCCAGGGGTGGGAGGGCATTGTGCGGAAAATAATCTGCCATGCTGACTTGTTTTAAAGATTTAAATTTTGTTGACTGCTTTTTTTTTTATTATTATATTAAGAATAGCATTGAAAAGAAAGTTAAGGGTGTCTTCCCAAATTCCCTCTGTGCAAGGAAAGGCAGGAAAAAAAGAGTTGGCATTTAGCACAGCCTGGGAAGAGAGAAAGAGAAGAGAGACTAAGGGGCCATTGAGGGGCAGAGAACAGGGAGATTGAAAGGCATGAGAACTAAATATTCTCTTTATAGACATTTACTTATAAACACATTCTTATAAATGTATTGATGAAGACTATATATGTACCATATTCTTATGTTACCAAATATGAAAAATTTATAGGGCTATATTTTTATGAATAAGATTTTATTTAGGAAGCTTCTATTCATAGACATTTGCCACATTCAAAGGAACGAATTTATAAATATATGCTTCTGTCCCTCGTGTCTTCTGCCGCCCCCTCCCTCCCCAGTCTCTAGCTGCAGAAGCAGTCCAAATGTTCCCTCTGTAAACTGGAGAATGGGGCCCGGAGTGGAGGACCAGGCCCTCATTTGCATCTCCTTTGCATAACACTCTCCAGAACGGAGTGTGGGTGGTCCTTCCACCAGCTCTTCCAGAAGCTGGGACCCTGCCCCATCCTTACCCACCCCTTCTGGGCTGGAAACATCCCAATTGAGACTGGATCCAAAGCTACCCCACCCCTCTTGAAAAACAGAGGCTCACACAGTCGTGCGTACATGCACTCTGTACTCACAGGCACAAACAGGAACCCTCATATGCCCCCAGGTGTATTCCTGGTCCGGTAGGCACACATACTGTCTACACTGGGGCTAGCACACGCGCCTACATGCCACATGGGATGCACATATTCATTCCTTCCAGCCCTTCCCTTGTTTGTGCTGTCGCTCAGTCATGTCCAACTCTGTGATCCCGTGGGCTGGAGCCCACCAGGTTCCTCTGTCCATGGGATTTCCCAGGCAAGAATACTGGAGTGGGTTGCTATTTCCTCCTCCAGGGGCTATTTCCAATCCAGGGATTGGACTCATGTCTCTTATACCCCTTCCTTGCATTGGCAGGTGGGTTCTCTACCGCTGTGCCACCTCAGAAGCCCTTTCCTAGACAACCAGAAATACTTAGTGGTTAAGAGCAAGGGCAGCCAGCAGCCTGGGAGTCAGATTCCAACTCTGCCACGTACAAGCTGTGTGACCTTGAGCCTATGGCTGAACCTCTCTGGGCCTCATTTTCCTCTTCTGTAAAGTGGGGATAAGAAAAGTACCTCCTCCCCAGGTTGCCATGAGGCCTAAACAAGTTAGTATATGTCAAATGCATAGAACTGTGGCACAGGATGAGCTCTATATATTTGCCATTATTGTTTATTGAGCAATTACTATGTGCCAGGCACTGTTCTAGACACTGGAGATTCAACAGTGAACAAGACAGACAAGACTTCGGCTCTCGTGGTGGGAAATGCTAGTGGGAGAAGACAGACCTTAAGTAAAAGACATTATTTGTTAGTAAATGTATCTACGTCGTCGTCGTTGTTTAGTTGCTAAGTCATGTCTGACTCTTTGTGACCCCATGGACTGACTGTAGCTTGCTAGCCTCCTCTGTCGATAGGATTTCCCAGGCAAGAATACTGGAGAGATCTGCCATTTCCTTCTCCAGGGGATTTTCCTGACCCAGGGATCAAACCTGCATCTCCTGCATTGGCAAGCAGATTCTTTACCACTGAGTCACCATGGAAGCCCTATCTATGTAATTACAAAATGTATTATACATCTTTTCAGTAAACAAAGCACTTGAAACAGGGCTGGTTGGACCTGAGATGTACTGTCGTGTAAACGGCTTCCCCAGTGGCTCAGCGGCAAAGAATTTGCATGCAATACAATCCCCGGGTTGGGAAGATTCCCTGGATAAGGAAATGGCAACCCGCTCCAGTCTTCTTGCCTGGAGAATCCCACGGACAGAGGAACCCGGCAAGCTACAGTCCACGGGATGGCAGAGAGTCGGACATGACTGACTTGCCTGAGCATGGAGAGCAGGTCAGTGTAAAACACACCCCAGAGACTTTCCTGGTGGTCTAGCGGCCAAGAATCCATATTCCCAATGCAGGGAGCCTGAGTTCGATCCCTGGTAAGGGGACTAGATCCCACATACTGCAACTAAAGATCCCACATGCCCCAGTGAAGATGGAAGAACTCTCATGCCACCTGGGAGCAGCCAAATAAATAAATAAAATACTAAAAATAGTAAAACAGAATACAGACTAGATTGAAAATTTGAGTATGAAAAAAGAATCTAAAAGTCCCAATAATTTTTAGGGGACTTCCCTGACAGTCCAGTGGTTAAGACTCCAAACTTCCAGACCTTTCACTGTAGGGACCTCGGGTTTGATCCCTGATGCAGGACTAAGATCCCACATCCCACTCAGCATGTCCAAAAAAATCTTTTTAAAACTTTTAAAATAATAATTTTTAATATCAATTATATGTTGAAATGATATTGTATGCATTAGAATATGTACACATGTACCTATAACATAATGTACAATAATTTAATAGTCTATTATTAATTACATTAATCCATATAGTCAAAGCTATGGTTTTTCCAGTAGTCGTGTATGGATATGACACTTGGACCATAAAGAAGGCTGAGTGCCAAAGAACTGATGATTTTGAACTGTGGTGTTGTAGAAGACTGTTGAGAGTCCCTTGGACAGTAAGATCAAACCAGTCCCTCCTAAAGGAAATCAACCCTGAATATTCCTTGGAAGGACTGATGCCAAAGCTGAAGCTCCAATACTTTGGACACCTGATGTGAAGAGCCGACTCATGGAAAAGACCCTGATGTTGGGAAAGACTGAAGACAAAAGAAGGGTCCTCCAGACCTGCCTTGGGTCAAAACTCAGCTAACTGTGTGCATCGGGCAAAGGACTTCCCCTCTCTGGTCTTCAGTTTTCCCTCCTCAAAAATAGGGATCGAGGAACCTCCTTGGTGGTCCAGTGGTTAAGAATCTGCTTTCCAATGTAGAGGATATGGGTTCAATCCCTAGTCAGGGAACTAAGATCCCCCATGCCTCAGGGCAACTAAGCCCACGCTGCCACAACTAGAGAGCCTGCTTGCAGCAAACGACTGAGCCCACGTGCTCTGGAGCCCATCCGCCACAACTAGAGAGAAACTCACACACCGAAACGAAGACCCTGCATATGAACTAAGATCTGATGCAGCCAAAAACAAATAAATAAATGATCTGTTAAAATGGGGATCGAAATAACGGCTGTGCCTCATGGGCTTCTTGTGAGCACAAAGCCCACGGTGTAGAATGCTGTAAGTGTCCCGTGCAAGTGAGTTTTATTTTTATGGAGCAGGTGCTACCGGCAACGGAAGGAGGCTCAGGTGTGGAAGAGGAGGGATGGGGTCTACAAAGTGTCAGCACTCAAGCAGCCACCCAGCTGCATGCCACACAATATTCATACTCAATGCTTCTCATCTCACAGTTAACCCCCTTTCAAATCAGAATCTTTGAATAATTTGCAGCCTTGAGAAGAATCAGAGCAAAGGAGAGGGAACCTGTTACTGAGTAACCTCCTATTCATGCTTCATCCATTTTCTGCCAGTAAAACTGAACTCCCCAGGCCTGCTCTTTGCTTAGAGGGCGAAAGACTGAAATTCCAGGGCCTGGCCACCCAAAGGCAAGTCTTCATAATGAATAAAAGGAGGTTACAGAAGAGATAGGAGGGCAGGTCCCCTCTCCTTTGCTCTGATTCTTCTCAAGGCTACAAGTTATTCAAAGATTCTGATTTGAAAGGAGGTTGATGGGAGAGCATTTCAAAGACCAGGCTTGTTTTCCTGTGTATGAAGACTTGCATAAATATTCCTGTTACCAACCTCTGTTTTCTAATACAATCTCTTCTTGATCAAAAAGACCCTGGGAGGGACTTCCCTGGTGGTCCAGGGACTAAGACTCCATGCTCCCCAAGCAGGGGGCCCTGGTTTGATCCTGGTCAGGGAACTAGATCCTGCATGCTGCAACTAAGAGTTCATATGCCACAACTAAGACTCAGCTCAGCCAAGTTAAAAAAAAAAAAAAGACCCAAGGAAACTCCTATGGCTTTAGAAATGAATGCCATATCCTGGGAGACAGACTTCAAAGAAAAGCTGTAATTCTCTGTCTTGGGTGATAATTAGCTGCCCTTGTCACACATTGTCATGGTGAAAAACTTCTAAGGTGTGTGATGGAAGGGGGGAGGAGCCTATGCTTTACCACTACATGCTCATTAGAACAGTTTGGATGAAGACAGAGGAAATCAACCCTGAATATTCACTGGAAGGACTGACGCCGAAGCTCCAATACTCTGGCCACCTGGTGTGAAGAGCTGATTCACTGGAAAAGGAAAAGATTGAAGGCAAGAGAAGGGGGCGGCAGAGGGTGAGATGGTTAGACAGCATCACCAACTCAATGGACATGAATCCGAGGAAACTCCGGGAAATAGTGAAGGACAGAGGAGCCTGGCTTGCTGCAGTCCACATGGTTGCAGAGTCGGACACAGCAACTGAACAACAACAATGAAGACAAAAACAGACAATATAAAATAAAATGCTGGCAAGGATGCGGAGGAACTAGAACCCTCACACAATGCTGATGGGAATTCAAAAGGGTACAGCCACCTTAGAGAGCAGTTTGGCAATTTTTTCTGAAGTTAAGCATACACCAACCCATAGGACCCATCCATTCCATTTCAAGGTGTTGATCCAAGAAGAATGAAAACACATGACCTCACAAAATCATGGATGAGAATGTTTACTTTTCTCATAATCACCCCAAATAGTCAACAGTTCAAATGTCCTCCAACTGATGAATGGTTAAACAGCGGTCCATACATATTCATAGCATAGATTACCTAGCATCAAAAAGGAACTGATGGATACACACCACGACATAAATTTAAAATCTATTAGGCTAAGTGAAAGAAGCCAGGCTCCAAGACTACATACTACAGAATTTCATGTACATGACATTCTAGAAAGGCAAAATTCTAGGGTCAGAGATTAGATCACTGGGGGGGTGGGCCGAGGTTCACTATATAAGCATCTTGGGGGGTGATGAAACTACTCTAGAGCTTTTTTTTTTTTTACCTTACTGTGAAGTTTGTGGGATTTTAATTCCCCAACCAGGGACTGAACCCTGGCCCCAGCAGTAAAAGTCAAGAAATAAGTCAAGTCCTAACCATTGGGCTGCCAGGAAATTCCCTACACTATAGCCTGACTGTGGTTGGGGTTACACAATTCGTGCATCTGTCGAAACTCACAGAACCACATACAAAAAAAGAGTGAATCTTCTCATGTAAATTACATGTCAGTTTTTTAAAAGGTCCTAAGATTCAGCTGTCTTATTATAACTCGAAAATAGTGTTTTTCATTTAAATTACCAGCACACGCTCATATATGTGTGTCTACATGCAGATGCCTGTGTGTGATCAGTCACACATGTTCTACATACATGTGCACACTTCCTCTCACACATGTGTGCACCGTACACATGCACACTTGTACATATACACACATACCTGTTCATACATATGCAGACCAGACCCATGCACACAGACATCCCACCTCCTTCCCGCTTACCTGATCAGGAAGTGGACGCAGACGATACTCTCAGATTGGGGACCCCGGCCCCCTGACACCACTGTGGCCTGGGTCTGGGTCCACAGGTAGCCACCACTCCGGGCCAGGAAGCGGTACTGCCCCGTTACTGCCTGGCCCTTGCTCAGCACTGGGGAGGGGCATGGGGAGGGGTTAGGGAAACTGAGGAGAGAAGGCAGTGGGGGCAGGGCATGGGGTATGAAGGGTCAGGGAAGAGAATGTTCCCTGGGGCTTGGGGAGCGCGGAGCTGGTGTTGGCTGATGTTGTCCACCGGAAGTGGAACCTGAACACATACATGTATGGATGCTCTGGCCGACTGCATCCGAGTCGAGCGCGTGGATGTACTCGTAGGCAGAACAGCCAATCAGGTCGTCGGGGCTGTAGCCGGCAACCTCCGCGATCCTGAGGTGAGTGCAGTGGAGCCTAGGTCAGTTCAACTGGCTAAGGTGGAGGGTGGGTGAAAAGAAGGAGAGGTGGGCCACGGGGATGAAGCCAGCAAGAGAGAGGGACAGGCTTGTGACAGAGAGAAAGGGAGAGCAAGGAATAGGAAAAGGAGTGTGGCAGGCTGAATAAAGGCCCCTGCAGAAGTCTCCGTCCTAATTCCCTGAACGTGTGAACATACTACCTTCTATGGCAAGAGGGATTTTGTAGATGTGATGAAGTTAATTATCTTGAGATGGAGAGATGATCCTGGATCCCCTGGGTGGGCCCAGTGTAATTACGGGAGTCCTTACAAGAGGGGGGAGCACACGGTCAGAGCACAGAAGATGCGATGATGGAGGTGGAAGTGACCTGCTTTGAGGTGGAGCGAGGGGCCACGAGTCAAGGGATGTAGGGGGTCCCCAGAAGCTTCTATGGCAAGGAAACAGATTCTTCCCTGGAGCCTCTGGAAAGAACACAACCCTTGATTTTCATTTCGTAAGACTCATCTCAGACTTGTCACCTCCAGAACTCTGAGATAGACAATATATGTTGTTCTGAGCCACTACATATGTGTTAACATGATACAGCAGCCATAGGAAATTAATAGTGGAGGAGCATGCACGCGTGAGCAGTATGCGTGCGTGAGGAGCGTGCATGCATGCGTGCTCAGGCGCTTCAGCCCTGTCCGACTCTTTGCAACCCTATCGACTGTAACCCGCCAGGCTCTTCTGTTCATGGGATTGTTCAGGCAAGAATACTGGAGTGAGTTGCCATGCCCTCCTCCAGGGAATCTTCCTGACCCCAGGGATCGAACCTGCAGCCCTGCATTGCAGGTGGATTCTCTGCCCACTGAGCCACCTGGAAAGCCCGAATAGGGGAGAAGAGAAGGTAAAAATGGGGAGAGCGATGAAAAGAAAGACAGAACGTGAAATAAATAGGAGAGGGGTAGAGAAAGGAGGAAAGAACATCACAAAAAGAAAAATAAGAGAACGAGTAGAAATAAAAAGTAATCGTGATGATAATGATTTTTAAAAAATAGGCACGTCTAGACTACTCTGCATCAGGCAACTTGCCGAGTGCTCAGAACACGTGTTCTAAGTAGGCTCTGTTCTTACTTCACAGGACAGGTGAGGAAAGTGGGGTACAGAGAGGTGAGGTTCTTTGGCCAAGGATGCACAGCCAGCATTTGAACTCGAGCAGTCTGAACCCAGATAAGAAGACCCACATATGGGGAACTTCCCTGGCAGTCCAGACGTTAAGAGTCTGCGTTTCCAACGCAGGGAGCTCAGGTTTGAACCCAGGTCAAAGAACTAAGATCCCCCATGACCAGAGGCAGGTCAAAAAAAAAAAAAAAAAAAGGACCCACAGACAATTTAGAGACAGGCAGACACATGAAGACAGAGGGAGATGGAGTCAGAAAGCCGGAAACAGACCAGAGGGAGACACTGGCGGTGGGGGGTAGGAGAGGAGATGGTGAGTGACCTTGGGCAGAAAGGAAGACGGGGAGCTGGGCTTGGCAGGTGATGGGTGGGCCCCTGACTCCTGCCCACCTCTCGTCGCAGTAGGTGAACTTCATGTCCAGGCTGTGGCGGCTGAGGAAGGCCCCTCGGCCCAATGGGGGCTCCAGGCTGCCAGGGTGGGGGATGGCTTCACAGATTAGCACCAGGCATTGCAGGGGGGGCTCCAAGTTGGGACTCCCGGCCGGGGAAGTCTGTGCTGGGGGTTTGTAGACCCTCATGTGTCCAGAACAGTGTAGTACCTGGTGGGGGTAGTTGGGGGCAAGAGGGTGATGCACCTGGGCCTAGGGCTACCCAAGGGGCTGGGAGGTATGTTCCTGTGGGCCCCTCCCATAGGGAGCTGTGAAGAAGAAAGCCCTGAGGATTCCAGAGCCCCAGCTCAGGGAGCTCTGAGGACCCCCAGACCCTGACCCCATAGAGACCCCAACCTAAGAAGGTTCTGACAATCTCCAGATTCTCAGACACAGGGAGCTTTGAGGACCCCAGATTTTCCTACCCCATGGAGACTCCAGACTCAGGACACTGAGGACTCCCAGCACTAGGCCCACAGAGATCCAGACTAAGAAAGGATACAAGGACCCCCGATCCCCAACCTCCTAAGTACCCAGAGGATGTCCAAGACCCAGCCTGAGAAAGCCCCACTGGATCCCGGGCCCAGGAGACCCACGGACTGAAACCCCTTGTGGGAACTTTAGGGCTCAGGTCCAGCCCCGGCGGGCCCCTCCCCTCCAGGCCAGGTCCTGCCCACCTTCCAGGTGGCCGCCTTGAGATTGAGGGTGCGCCCGCGGCTGCTGAGGGTGCTCTTCATGCGCAAGGAGAAGCACCGCTCGGTGGGGGCCTCCGGCTTCTTTTTGGACAGGCCTGAAGAGGGCCGTGGGGTGGGGGGCGGAGGGCGGGGTGGGGGGGCGGGGGGAGGAGGGGAAGGGAGGGGGCGGGGGAGGGAGGAGCTGGTCATCAGGTACAGGGCCCAGTTCCCTCCAGCACCCCAGTTACTAAACTCTTCCCAGCCTCATCCTCAAAATCTAGACCTGAAACCAGAGAGGGTCTCCCAGGGGTATGCCACGCTCTTTAAGGTGATCCGCCCCAGAGTGGGGTGAGTCCCTGCATTCCCCCAGGGCAGGGCCACAGCGTCCTTCTCTTCCCATTTTTTTTTTTTTCTCAGTGGACAGGGAAGCTTGGCGTGCTGCAGTCCATGGGGTCACAAAGAGTCAGACACGACTGAGTGACTGAACTGATTCCAGAGGGGAGAGGATATGCTAAGGGCAGGATGGATCCTCAGTTTCTGTAATTTAGGGGCAGAGACCTCCAGGGAACTTACTCTGCCGGGGGGTCAGGGCATCTTGAAGCTCCTCTTGGTCACAGGGATGGATAAAATCAAAGATATTGTGTCCGATCAGCTCCAGCTGGGAGGGAGGGAAGCAGAGGGGTGCCTTGGAGGAAAAGCATTTTTACAAGGGCCTCTGACCCATCTCACCCTTCCCATCCTCATCACCCTGCCCCAATTCATGAACCCAGATTATTTTCCCAGTCTTCTTATCCATTCATTCATTCCTTTCTTCAGCATATTATTTGCCAGGCCTTCTTCTAGATGATGTGGGCACAGAAGTAACTACAAAGACAAAACCCCTAACTCTCAGAACTTACTTGGTAGTGGGGTGCAAGCTCAGTCGCTTTAGTCATGTCTGACTTTGTGACCCCATGGACTGTAGCCCACCAGGCTCCCCTGTCCATGGGATTTTCTGGGCAAGAATACAGGAGTGGGTTGCCATTTCCTTCTCCTGGGGATCTTCCCAAACCAGGGATCAAACCCGAGTCTCCCAGATTGCAGGTAGATTCTTCAGCATCTGAGCCATATAAAACAATATACTAACCATACAAAGAAAACTAAAGCAGGGTTGTGCTGTGTTGTGCTTAATCGCTCAGTGCGACAACTGAGCAACCCTGTGGACTGTAGCCCACCAGGCTCCTCTGTCCGTGGGGATTCTCCAGGCAAGAATCCTGGAGTGGGTTGCCATGCCCTCCTCCAGGGGATCTTCCTGACCCAGGGATTGAACCCAGGTCTCCTGCATTGCAGGCGGATTCTTTACCAGCTGAGCTACTAGGGAAGCCCTTATGGTGAAATGATGGAATACTGTCTTAGAAGCAGTGGTCAGAGCTAAAGCTGAACAGGGGAGTGATGAGATCTTGGAGTCCTAGCCATTTCCTAGCTCTGGGACCTTGGAACATTCACCTCGCTGAGCTCAAAAGCTCAAACTAACAGAGAAGTTGGCATAAAGGGTGGGACAGGGACTTCCCTTGTGGTCCAGTGGTTAAGAATCGTTAGGGAACTAAGATCCCACATGCCGAGGAGTAACTAAGACTGAGAGCCGCACCGACTGAGCCAGGAAGGCCACGACTAGAGAGTCCATGTGCCACAACAAAAGATCCCTCGTGATGCAACTAAGACCTGACGCAGATAAATAAATTTTCATTTTTAAAGAGTGGGATAACAAGGCAAGGGAAAGGAATAGATGCCAACTGTGGAGCTCATCAATGTGATATAAGAATATAAGATATAAGATATAACAGTAGCCCTCTCATGGGACTAGGCGTAAGATGAGCTGAAATTAGTTCTACTCCCTAAGTTTCTTGTCTCCCCATCCCAGGCCCCTCATCCTACTCCTTTTCTCCCATTTGGGACCCTGCATCCACCGTTTTACGGAGTTTCCAGCCTCTAGACTCACTCTCTCCAATTCTATCTCTGTGCAGTAGCTAGAGGGATCTTTCTAAAATGAAAATCTGATTGCACCTTTCTGACACAGTCTCTCCTCTGCTTAAAATCCTTCCATGACTCCCCAGTGCCCTGGAGGCAAATCTTCTGTCTCAGTCCTAAATTTTGACCTCTAGCCTTTCTTTCACTTTCTCCCACTGCACTCTGCACCTAACTCGGAGAAATGTCCCCAAAGGCTCTGCTTTTTTTTTTTTTTTCTTGTCAAAGGCTCTGCTTTTATCTCACATCTGTGTCTTGGCATATTGTTTCCTCGGCCATGTACATTCCTAGTCTTTGGTGGGCCCTACCCTTTGACTTAAGTCCTTCAGGTTTTAGCTCAGATGTCTTTTCCAGGAAGCCCTTGAGTCCCTCCAAGTCTGGGTCAGGTACCAGCCTCCACCCCGGGCTTATACAGCCCCTTGAGCTGCCCCACCTCAGCCCTACCCATTCCAAATTTTCCTTTCTGGTGACATATTTGCCTCCCCTTTGCACTGTGGACCTTGTAAATGCAGGGCTAAGGTGGTTCTGGTGCTGTCTGTATCCCAGCATCACCTGCACAAAGTAGGAGCTCCTCTTACCTGGCTGAGGCCCAGGTGTTTGCTGACATTCTCTGACAGGTAAGCCATGTCTCCCTCGGCGGTGAGCACCATAACAAAGCCCTCCAGGGCCTTCAGGTAGCAGGCATCCAGTGGTTCGCCCCCTGCTCCCACCTGGTTCCACTCCCCTGGTGTCAGGGCCAGGATGGATAGGGTGTGTCCAGGCAGCCATGAGCCCACCCTGGCTAGCCTCCCTCTGCTTTCCTTCACTTAGAGGAACTTACAGGAACCTCCAGGTGAGTGGGGCACATCCTTCCCAGTGACTTGGAGTCCCAAGGAAGAGGGAAGGACCAAGAAGGACTGGAATTCTAAGAAAACAAGACCTCCCAGGGGTACAGAATTCTAGAAAGGCAGGGGTCTCCCAAGGGAATAGAACTCTTGTTATGTAGTCAATAAGTAGTATCCTATGACTCTTTGGGGACTGTAGCCCGCCAGACTCTGCCCATGGGATTTCCCAGGCAAGAATACTGGAGTGGGTTGCCATTTCCTTCTCCAGGGGATCTTCCAAACCCAGGTATCAAACCTGAGTCTCTGGCATTGCAGGCAGATTCTTTACCACTGAGCCATCTGTGAAGCCCCTAATAGAACCCTGAGGAGGGCAGAATGCTAACGGGATGAAATTCCCAGGGGTCAAAATTCTAAGGGGCCAAGGTATAAGGGGAGTCAGAATTCCAAGGGGGCCAAACTTGCCAGGGGTTCAGAATTCTTGGGGCAGGACCTTCCAGATGGGCAGAATTCTAAAGAAGCAGGGACTCCCAAGCGACAGAATTCTAAGGAGGGCAGAATACAAGACAGGAATGTCTAAGGGGGCAGAGTCTCCAGAGGATGACTCCACTTTCCCCATAATAAAATCTTTTCAGGGTCCTGGGATTCCAAGGGGTGTGTGTGTGAGAAAGAGAGAGAGAAGGCTTCCTGCTGAATTTTAGTTTAACAGGGTGGGAATTCAAGGGGACAAACAATATAACTAGTGAGCCTAGCTGAGAAGATCTCCCAGGGGACCAAATCCTAAGGGTCCAAGTGCCTTAGGGAGTTTAGTGGAAACAGTGAAGTGAAAGTGGTAGCCGTGCAGTTCTGTCTGACTCTTTGTGACCGCATGGACTATATAGCCCGCCAGGCTCCTCTGTCCATGGAACTCTCCAGGCAAGAATACTGGAGTGGGTAGCCATTCCCTTCTCCAAGGGAATCTTCCGACCCAGGGATGGAATCCGGGTCACTTGCTTTGCAGGCGGATTCTTTAGGGGCTGAGCCTTCTATTCCCTAGCGTTCTAATTCTAAGAAGGCGGAGCTATGCAAGGGAGCATTCCAACGGGCGGGGCCTAACAAATGACAGACTTCTAAGAGGATGGGGATTCCTAGGACTGGATTCCGATTGGCCAGAACTCGAAGAGGCGGGGCCTCTCCAGGGACTTGGATTCCAGAGGGGCGGGGCTCCGCAGGGAAGCCTTCTGGGAGCCGGGCCTTTGGGACGCGGCTTCCCGGAGGAGGGGTCTCCTCGGGATGTACCTTTCCAAGGGCGGGGACTTGCCCAGGTGGGAATTCCCGGGGGCGAGGCTCACCTGCGGTGCAGAGGCGGTGCATGCGCAGATAGCTGATGGTGAGGCGCATGATGGAGGCCTTGTCCAGGTGGGCGCTGACCCCGCGCGCGAAGGGCAGGGTGTGCGCCAACTGGTACAGCACCTCGGTCTCCTGGCTGCGCCGGCTGCGGGCCGCATCCCGGGACTTCTCCTTGCGTAGCTCCGTGCTCGACCTGCGGGCATGGCCTGCGTTCACTGGGGGCGCTCCGGGAAGGGAAAGAGTTGGATGCGGCAAGCACGTGGTGTGCTGCCACATGGGTCTCAGAGAAGTCAAGAGCCGCGACTCTGCAGGCCTAGCTGTGTGGCCCGGGCGAGTTCCTGGAGCTCTCTGGGTGGGTTATACTATGGAGTCTCTCCTAGCCTCGGGTTTTATTGTCCGTGCCCCAGCCCATGCTGCCCTCCAGTGCCTCACTCCTCTCCAAGGCGTGCCCAGGGCCGCCCTGTCCCCTCCCTGACTTATCTGCTGATTATTCCCCGGGCTTGGGGCGACTGGGTAACAGGGAGGCCTCCTGCTGGGAGGAGGCTGGCAGAGATGGTCAGGAACCAGGGAGGGGAGGGTGCAAGAAGATGCATACAGCCCCCTCCAGGCCCTCTGCCCTACAACCTCCCTGAACCCCGTCTCCTGCCCTTTTCCCTCCTCAGCTGAGCTGAGTTCTCAGAATCTTGGAGTACAGGTCTCAAAGTCCAACGACCCACCTCCCGGGGCCCTGCCAGGGAGATATAGCAAACCATCCCTAGGGTCTTGGGGGGTTCTGTTCAGTCAATGGCTAACCACTCACCCCTGCCTTTTAATCCATTTCAAATGCTTGAATTCTGCGTGTGGGGTTGGAAGTAGAAAGTTATCGTGTTTTTTTGTTTGTTTTCAGAAATATCCGCCACTTATCCAGCTTTTACTATTGTGTCAGACCCTGTGCCATGTGTGTAACTTAAATTAACCCATGTAGCTCAGACATCCCTAGGAGGAAGATAACAACATCCCATTGAACAGAGGAAACCCAGGCACAGAGAGGCGCAGTGCTTGCCCACAAGGAGTGAACACTGTTCTGCCTGATTTCTTCAGTTTCCTCTGTTGTGTGTACGTGCTGAGTTGCTTCAGTCGTGTCCAACTCTTTGTGATCCTATGGACTACAGCACGCCAGGCTCCTCTGTCCATGGGACTCTCCAGGCAAGAATACTGGAGTAGTTTGCCATTTCCTTCTCCAGGGGATCTTCCTGACCCAGGGATCGAACCCTTGTCTTCTATTGTATTGCCCTGGATTATCTCCAGGTTTTAGTACTTCTTCCTATTTCTGCACTGTCTTAAAAGTCAAACTCCAGGTCTCTCTGAATCCAAACTCTATAGTTTTGGGGGGAAAAATGATAAGAATATGTTACATATAGTATAGTATATGTAATCTTATCTGTATTGAGATACTACTATTGATAAAAAACCATAAATTTGTTGTTCCCTTGCTAAGTTGTGTACAACTCTTTGCAACTCCATGGAGTACAGCACACCAGCCTCCTCTGTCCTCCACTATCTCCCGGAGTTTGCTCAAATTCATGTTCACTGAGTCGGTGATGCTATCTAACCATCTCATCCTCTTCCACCCCTTCTCCTTTGACCTTCAATTTTTCCCAGGATCAAGGTCTTCTCCAGAGAGTTGGCTATAAATGGCAACCCACTCCAGTATCCTTGCCTGGAGAACCCCATGGACAGTATGAAAAACCACTAATAAGCAGCTATAATTTGCCAAGTATTTATGAGTCTGGCATTGCACTAAGTAAGGACTCAGCCTACGTGTACTCATTCAATCCTAAGAAAGCCCTAGGCCAGGACTTCCCTAGTGGTCCAATGGTTAACAATCCACCTTCCAATGCAGGAGACAAGGGTTTGATCCCTGATAGGGGAACTAAAATCCCACACGCTATGGGGCAACTAAGCCCAGGCGCTGCAAATAAGACCAGAGGCAGCCAAATAAATATTTTTTTTTTTTTTTTAAAGAAAGCCTAGGCTCTGAAACCTCCATTTCACAAAGGGGAAACTGAGACTCTGAAAAGGTAAGTCCTTCACCCCCAGAGTCATAAAGCCATTAACTGGAAGAGTTGGGATCTGAACTCAGGCAGTGAGATTTCAAAGCCTTCATTCTTCTAATTCCTGTCTTATGAACCACTCCCCCCAGCCCCTTCCACAACTTCCATGGAAGCAAAACCCAAGAGGGGGAAGCTGACCTTCCTAAAAGCTAGAGGCCATTTCTGGGGCATCAACTGCTCCTCCAAACAGGAGCCCTGCAGCGCCACCCCCAGGCACAATGGAGGGAGGCGCGTGGTACCTCCTGTCTGTACAGATGGGAAAAATCTCCTTATGCAAGTGAGAGGGAGGCACAGAAGGGGACAGGCTGGGTGGAGGGGTGGAGGGAGCCAGCAACTGCCCTCATCCCCTCCCTCCTGGCTGGTGGGGGGCAGGGGCCTCCAGTCCTCCTCTGCCCAGAGGACATTCCGTCCTGCTGTCCCGTTCTGTTCCAGCCTTGTTTGTCTTCCTGCCCAGAGGGTGGGGGTGGGCGGGCCTGAGCTGGGGGCCCAGACAGAGGGAACAGGGAATGGGAACAGGGACGGGGGTAGGGGTGGGGCTGGCCCCCCCACCTCCCGGGCAACTGGGCTCTATAATCCTCTCTGTGGCCGACTCCTTCTCCCTTCATAGGAGCTAGCTGGTGGCTGCGGCAGGACCCTCCCTCCAGCTCCCAGCCTGTTCTCCAGATATCCTGACAGCAAGTGTGGGTGGGTCTCTCACTTACTCCACAAGCTGTCTGGTCTCTGGCCTTTCTCTGTATTTATTTATATATTTTTATTTTATTATTATTATTGAAGTTTTTATTGAATTTGTTACATTGTTGCTTCTGTTTTCTTGTTTTGGGGTTTTTCTTTGGCCCCCAGGCATGTGGGATCTGACCTGGTCTGACCAGGGATGGAACCCCTACCGGCTGCATTGGAAGGCAAAGCCTTAGCCACTCAACCACCAAGGAAGTCCCTGGCCTTTCTCTTTAAACAGACTTGGGGTTAATTCCTCTGGTTCAGCCTTCCAGTCTCGACTCCATGATTTATTAGCTGTGTGACTTTGGGCAAGTTGCACGGCCTCCCTGTGCCCAAGAACAGCACAAACTCATGGGGCTGTTGTGAAGACTAAAGGAGTTACTGTACGTCAAGGGCTTAGAATCGAGGCTGGCAATTAGTCAATGCTATATATAGGTGGACTCTTTGCGACCCCATGGACTGGAGCAGAATTCTTCAGGCAAGAATATTGGAGTGGGTTGCCACACCCTCCTCCAGGGGATCTTCCCAACAGGGATCAAACCCAGGTCTCCTGCATTGCACGCAGATTCTTTACTGTCTGAGCCATGAGAGAAGTCCAAGAATACTGGAGTGAGTAGCCTATCCCCTTCCCCAGGGGATCTTCCCAACCCAGGCATCGAACCTGGGTCTCCGACATTGCAGGCAACTTTTATTATTCCCTCTTTGTCCACATCAGGGATGGAAGGCTGAGGAGACTCGTAGGCTCTGGAGAAACCCTCAGGCTTCAGTGGTAAACCTGTGGTGTGGTATGTGTGTGCAATCACACATGTGACTTTTACATAATACCTTGAGAAAAAGACTAAATCATAGTGATACTAATAATAATGATAGCTCTGGTATATTGAAAACTCATGAGCTTAGAGACCCCATTAACTCCCTTCAACAACCCTAAGCACCTGGAAAAGTGATCTCCCTTTTATAGAGTCAGAAACCGAGTCTCCAAGCAATTGCATTACCAGCCCAAGTCACCAAGCTGGTAATCCCAGGACCCTCGACCAATGTGCAGCTGTGCTCAACGCTTCTGTTAATCCAACCACGCATTTGCTTTTGCCCAGAATCCTGTCTGACTTGAACACAGTTTGTTGCCCTCCTATGGAGTATTCTGTCTCAAAGGTCTGTCCCCTCACCACTCCTCATCTAGATCTGGTGCAGGAGATGGGAAGTAGAACTCTCATTTTCCAGGCTATGAAACTGAGGCTCAGAGAGCAGCCTGCTGGCGTAAAGCCACACAGCCAGGAAGCTGGTGAGCTGCGATTTGAACCCTGACTTTGGGGCCTGGGCTTTTAAGTGCCATGCTTTGGTGGGCATGCCACCCAAGGGACCCGCGTCCTTTCCCTTGCTCCCACCCCTGCTGCCTCCGGATTTCCCCAGCTGGCCAGTCTCCCCAGCTGGCCCCATGCCCAGCCCTGGTCCAGCCCCTTGGCATTCTGCCCAGGTTGAGACGTGCAGCTGGAGCCCTGCCACCCTTCCTCTGTGTTCCAGCAGAGAACAGGGGGTGGAGCCCAACCGGGAGGCCCCAGGGTAAGGCCTGGAATGGGGAGTAGGGCCTGGTGCCCCCCCCCCCACCAGGAGAGGGAGAAGCCCACTTCTCTGCTCTGAAGAACTTGCCCCTGAGAGCAAAGGCACGGAGAAAGTGGGGACACCGGCCCCATATTTGGGGCTGCTCCTGGGCCTCTCTCTCCTGACAGTCGACTGGGTATTTGGGGTCTTGCAAAAAGTATAGAGAATCTGGGGGGCCTTAGGCTGAATCATGCAAGGATCCTCTTGGCATTGCCCCGAGGTGGCCTGAAAAGGCCAGAGGCAGGGTTTGAGTTGGAGAAGGGACTTGGGGAAGGGGGTCGGGGGTGTCTCTCTACTCCTGACTCTGCGCATTCTCAAAGACCTGGTAATCCAGTGGGGTGCCTGTACCCCAAGTCTTATGTTCTCTGGGAACCCTCTGACCTGAGGGACACCCAGGGTCAAGTGCCCATCAGGGGCTTCCCGAGAATCACCCTTGCCTGGAGTGGGATGGCAGTTAGCCAGAGCTGGAAGAGGGGGAAGCAGTAAGGGAGTACGGGGGGCCCACTCACCATCACCCAGACCCTCTTTGGCCCAAATGCCATCCTAGGGGTGCAGGAGGGGATGGAGCGTGGCCGGGATCCGGGTGCAAGTTATGAGTGGGTGGTGTGCAGGCTCAGATGACACCAAAGGAAAGGGCTGTCCTTAGATGGGGAGGGGGGAGCGCCCCCAGCTCAGCCAAGAGGGGCCCCCACCCAGCCAGGAGGGGCTGGGCCAGGGCTGGCCCAGAAAGGGTGGGATAGAGTTTCCCTGGCCGGCCCAGAGCCAGAGACTGGAATAGAACTGGGGGCGGGGGGAGAGAGTATAGGTGAGGGGGGGAGGGATGTGAAAACATGGGGGTGTAGATGGATCCAATCAGACCTGTGAAGCCAGGGAGGAGGGAAGGGGGTGAGGCTTCCTGGACGCCTCAGATTGGACGGGAGAAATCAAGGGCTTGAGATACTTTCCGGGGTCCCATGAAAACATGGTCAGATAGGACCCCCTGGCTGTGGACCCAGAACACCAGTTCCCTGTACTGCCCAGCAGATCTGCACCTGTTGGGAAGGGAACACAGAAACCCACTCCCTGCCCAGGATGACCTAGCTGGCCGCTGCGGCAGGGGGCGCGCCCAGCTCGCACTGAAGCAGGCACAGCACCCTCTCTGGGGTCTTCCCAAATAAGGCTTGGGTGCCGCTTCCCACTGTCACAGGGACTGGGTGGGGTTGGGGGACTCAGAGAAGAGGCTAGACTTTGGGAAGTGGGTCAGGCTGTGTTCCTATTATTGAAGGGATGACCCTACCTTTCACAAGAATACAAAAAAGCCCTTGGGAAGGGTCCCACAGGTAGCTTCTGAAAGGTGACCGCCTCTGTCTATTTCTAGGCAACCCAAGGTTTGGGAAACAGTGTCAGGGAGGGTCCAGTTATAGAGGTTCTCTCTTGAATCAATAGCTGACTCCCAATTCTAAGAGACTCCCTTTATCTGGGAAGGCTCAATTTGGGGCTGTCCCGTATCTCCTAGGACCCCAGGGGTCTTGTGTCAAAGAACAACCTCAATTCTGGGGGCTCGGAGGCCAGAAAAGTTACTCTGAAGAAGAAAAATGCCTCCCGCAGAAGCCCGGGAACTGCTCAAGTGCAACCACCCCAATTCCGTGGGGACCCCGAGTTTCACCCCTAATCAAAAGGGGAAGCGAACCCGGAGCAGCAGGAAATCGGGGACCAAGACCCCAAAGTCGCTCCTGGCTAGAGGGGCGTGGCAGCCTGGGCTTGGGGAAATGCCCCCACCCCTGCGATCCCCTAGGGTGGAGGGTGCGGCGGGGATGTGCCTGCAACCGCGCGTCCGAGGGCGCCCTAGGCTTGCACCCGCTCCTTCCCCACCCGGCTCAGGGGTCGCTGGAAGAAGAGCCCCCAGTTCTCATCACTCCTGCCCGCGAAGCCCAGTACCTTGCGCGCTGTAGTCCCAGCGCCATGACTCGCCAGTCGCAGCTCCGGAGCCCTTCGAGGCCCCTAGCCCCCTCCCCTGCCCCGCGAGCCCCCTCCTCAGCCCCTCCTCCCGCCGCGCGGTTGGCTGCCCCGCGCCCTGCCCGCGGCTCTGATTGGATGATCGGTCTGTCACTTCCAAGAAAGAGGCGGGACCAGAGACCGAGCCTTAGAACGCCAGGCGAGTGTGTGTGTGCAGGAGGCGGGTCCCGAGGAATACACACACACACCCCGCCACACCCCTTGCCGCGGACTTCTAGGCAGTGTCACCCGCCCCATGCACAGTCGACGGGCCTCGCCTTCTGGCCCAGTCTATCCCGCCAAGTTCCGACACCGACTCTCTTCTGAATCCACCTACTTCTCTCTGTCCCTTACACCCCAGCCCCCACCCTCTAACTCCCACCTCACTTTCTACCTCCACTTTCTACCCCCAGACGGGCCCCTCCGACTTCCAATCCCACCCCCTCCAGTGGCCCAGCTCTGCCTCCGGAGTCGCCCAGCTCCGCCTACTCTGTCTCGTCTTCCCTATCCACCGAGTCCCCCGCTTTGCCTCTCCGCCCCCAACTCCCGACCCCACCGCCCCAGTTCTGCGGTCCCTCCGCTTCTGTACCCCCGCCGTCCCCCTCAGTCCCCTGCCCCTTCCCTCCACCCTCCCACCCCTCCGTCTCGCGCCCACGCCCCCTGGTCCCCGCTCCTCCGGTCTGGCACCCCTCAGGTCCCCAACCCCGCCTCCTTGCCTCTCGAACTCCCTTTTCAGGTTCTCACTGGTGAGTGATTAAGTTTATGTCAGGTAAATATGTAAAACTCAATCACACCCACTTTTCAGAAGAGCGGAGAAGTGGTAGCTTTCTACCAGTTAAGTGAGTAAGAAGGTAGAGACGCGAGGTCACCAAGGAGTGCTACAAGTGTCTAAGGTGGGTGTTGAACCACCGCAGGCCAGTATTCTGGGTGCAGCTTTGGGCAGAGAAAAGGACACTATAGCAGAAATCTGTGGGTTTTGTCCACCCTAGTATCCCACTCAGTTTTCTTTTGGGGAAATACTTCTTTCCTCTTAATCTTTTTTTTTTAATACTTTTACTTATTTATTTATTTGGCTGCACTGGGTCATAGTTGCAGCACATGGGATCTTAGTTTCAACATATGAACTCTTAGTTGCGGCATGTAGGATATAGTTCCGTGACAAGAGACTGAACCCAAGCCCGCATGCATTGGGAGCGCAGAGGTTCAGCCATTGGACCAGGGAAGTCCCTCAGTCTATTTAATTTGAGCGGGACTGGCCATAGCCCTACCAACACCAGCTCCAGGGACTGGTGATGGGTTGGTTTAATAACTAAGTCATGTCAGACTCTTGCAACCCCATGGACTGTAGCCCACCATTCCCAGGCAAGAATACTGAAGAGGGTTGCTGTTTCCTCCTCTAAGGGATCATCTCGACCCAGGGATTGAACCCATGTCTTCTGCATTGGCAGTTGGATTCTCTACCACTTAGCCACCAGGGACTAGACCTAGCCAGTTTATTCTGTTTCTCAGATCACAGTGATTAGTTCAGGGAAGGTGTGTGACCTAACTAATCTAGTGACAACCAGCCCAGAGACATTTGCTGCAACTATCATGAAATGTGTTCTTTCTACTGGAGTTGCCAAGCTGATGAGATGTGAGCCTGGAGCTTATGGGGCTCTGTCACTGAGAAAGGCTTTATGAGATGAATGTCAATGCAGAGGAAAGCAGAAATGAAAGTTTGTGAAAGATAGTCTTGACACTAGCACTTAGGTGCCTGGATTTGGCCATACCTGAACACCATTTTAATCATGGAACCATTATGGGGTTTTTGGTGGTTGCTGTTGTTATTAAATATTGTTTTATTTATTTACTCTGTGCTTAGATTAGTTGAGTTGATGTCAGCTGCTTACCCTCAAACGAATCTTGATAAACTGAGAGACTATGTCCTGAACTTCAGGAGAGACGTGTGAATAAGAGGCCAAATTTAGAAAGGGCTGCAGGAGAAGCAGTGTCCTATTCAAGGAAGCAGAGGTTATCCAACTCACAGCAGATAGCCAATCTGAGGATTTATGGTGTCCAAGGAAAACTAGCATATGTTAAACAAAAATTAAAACAGGACTAAAACTTATATACACAGATGTGCCAGGTATCTATGATCTAGGTTAACATTAAACTTCACTTGGTTGTTCCTGGAAGCAAAAGCAATACAGGAAATGTGTTTGTTGAAATAGTTTCTAATTTTTGCTAAAAGGATATGTTTGGGGGACTTCCCTGGTAGTCTGATGGCTAAGACTCCGTGCTCCCAAAGCAGGGGTCCTGAGTTCAATCCCTGGTCAGGGAACCAAATCCCACATGCTGCAAATAAGAGTTCACATGCTGCAATAAAAAGATCTTGCATGCCACATCTTAGATCAAAGATCCCACATGCTGCAACTAAGACATGATGTAGTCAAATAAATTGATTAATTTTTTAAAAAGGAGTTAATTTTTTTTTTTTTTTGCCTGAGCTGCATGGCTTATGGGATCGATCCTACCTAGTTTGCCGATCAGGGATCAAACCCAGGCCTCTGGCAAGGGAAGCTGGAATGATCTGATGCTTCCTCACTCACCTGCTTGGTGGTTGATGCTGCCTGTCACCTAGAACCTCACCTGGGAACTGTGGCTGGAGCATCTACATGTGGTCCTTCCATGTGGCTGCTTGGGCTTCCTCCCATCATGGCTTCCAAGTCCCAGTGGAGAGGAAGAGTGAGTGAGGACACATGCAGAAGCGGTATCTCCTTTATGACCTAGCCTTGGGATTTATGCAGCATCACTTCCTTCTCATTCCTTTCGTCAAGGCAATCACAAAATCCCGCCCAGTGGAGGGAAAGAGACTCCACATCCTGGTGGGAAAGATCAAGCTTCCACAGGGAAAAACATGTGGAACTGGAAACATTACTGCAGCTATTTGGGGAAAATATCTGCCACACTTTTTACAGAACATTACCTTGGAGTTCTGCCTACAAGCAGTGCCATGGAGGTGGAGTCTTAGGCTTTGGGATATTAGAGGAAAAAATGCTTATTTTATCAACAGGGAAATAGGGTTCAGCAACAAAGCCCCAGAACCGTGAACATACCCAGTCTGACAAGTCAGCATTCCTGGCTGCTGTTTTCTGTACATCTGCTTGGAGGTTTCACTTGCTGATGTTCACTTCTATATGACTCACTCTCCCTGCTGTCGAAGACTGGGGGGAATAGCTCCTAACCACTCTACAACCTCCACCTCTTGTGATCTAATTCTTATTTTAATTTTTAAACATATTTATTTATTTGGCTGCACCTGGTCTTAGTTGTGGCAGGTGTGATCTAGTTCCCTGACTAGGGATCAAACTTGGGCCCCCTGCATTAGGAGCTCGGAGTCCTAACTGCCGGACCACCAGGGACGTCCCATCTTGTGATTTGATTTTATCTCAGCTCTCCCCTTCCCTGGCTCTGACTCCTAATAATATGGGCTTATAAAGGTCAGCTGGCATTCCTGGAACACTGCCAGGAGCAGAAAATCCCTCCAAACTCGAGCCAAGCCAACCTGGAACCAGACGATGGATTAAATAGGACGAGTCCTAAGTGTTATGCACGAGCTCTATGTCAAGTGCAAGCCCTGCTCTTACTGGAACATCAGCGCAGCTCCATTATGAGGGCAGCATTATTTTCCTGCTGATCAGTGGTTATGATCCATGGTTCTAGAGCCAGCCTGCGTGGGTTCAAATTTTGACTCCATCACTTCCAGCTGTGGGAGCTTGGGCATGTTGCTTCATTTCTCCGTGACTGAGTCATTTCTGTAAAATGCTCTTAGTTTAAAAAAAAAAAAAACCCTGAAGCAGATCATACTATTGTTTCCAAATCTTCACTCCCCTGCCAGTCAAGGGGGTCCATTCTGGAGGGTGAACAGGCATAGCTCAGACAGGCACGGTCACTACCCACAAGTTCACGTGCATACATGTCCATGTGCATTTTGATGTCACACACATAGGTGTTACGTAACAGGCTGCCATTAACACACAAGTCAGGAGCAACACGTGGATTCTGACAAATGCACGAGCTGGCACGTACCACGATCGAGATCTATGTCTTGGCCTTGTTGTTCAGCCGCTAAGTTGTGTCCTCCGACTTTTTTGGCACCCCATGGACTGGAGCCCGCCACGCTCCTCAGTCCATGAGATTTCCCATGCAAGAATGTTGGAGTGGGTTGCCATTCCTTCTCCAGGGGATCTCCCCAACCCTGGGATGGAAACCGAGTCTCTTGCGTTGGCAGGCAGATTCTTTACAGCTGAGCCACCAGGGAAGCCTGTCTTGGCCTTAGGCATAGCTTGATGTCAGCCTGCTTGTTGCTGTTGGCACGTGGATGCGTGCTGATGCATACACAGATAAGTGACGCGTGTAGTTATCTGGGTTCTGTAACAACGGCACCTGTCATCCATAAGACACGCGAAACTCACACGCACGACTATAAGCACACGCATCTAAAAATCTCTTGCATCCCATGGTTCTCTGTGAAGACTCTGATGTGTCTGTTGGTGTAAACGCAGGAAACCACCCCGCCATGGGAGTGATAGATACAGTGACCCAAGTCCCCTTGCGCGAGTGCTCAGGGCTTTGGTGCCCCCTGCAGTGAAACCTCTCCTTAGACTCTGGAGGCCTGGACACTCCTCCCCAGTTCTCGAAGTTCCCCTGCTCCCTGGTACATCCCTCCTTTGAAGTTCAGTGAGCAAGTCTCAGCTCTTGGAGCCATCGTAGGAGATGTGTGTAAATCTGTAAGTCCTCTGACATTTGGTGGCCCGGGAATCCAGATTGTTGTGATGCAGTGTGCAGCCTGGACCAGAAGTGGTTTCCTGGGTTCCTGCTCGAATGGGGTGCAAGAAGAATCTCTTAACGACCATCTTAGGCTACAGAGGCTCCCATTTTTACCTATAGCCAGCAAGAATTTTGCATTATTTTAATATATCAACACCTCAGATATGTAGATGATGCCACTCTAATGGAAGAAAGCAAAGAGGAACTGAAGAGCCTCTTGATGAGGATGAAAGAAGAGAGTGAAAAAGCTGGCTTAAAACTCAACATTCTGAAAACAAAGATCATGGCATTCGGTCCCA